AAAAAGGAGTATGGAGCGGAGAAGTGCACAATCGAGTGGATTAAATGGCACAAACATGGCTAATTACATGTATTTAACACGCACAGGGCAGTCTGTACTTAAAAGTTGGCAATGCGACACAAACAATGACAAGTACCACAATTATGGTCAAAAGCTCGAAAGCGATACACTGTCACTAGATACAAGCCATCAGAAGAGGCTACGGCAAAACAAAAGACAAGCAATTAAAACAAAGAATAAGAGGGTAAAAACTAATTTGATGATCCTAAGTTTACTACGAATAATGTGTTAAGATTAATCGCTACTTGCAACCAACGATATATTAAACGATGTCATATATTTACTAGGAATAGTTTTTTAAAAGTTTTTACTCAGATCCTTCATTAATTAATTTAGTGCTACTGAATCTCAATTGTAATATCCATCGTTTTTTGGAATAAGGAACAGATAAAATAACCATATTTTTCAAAAAAAATAATAAAAAAACTAAAAAAATGTTGTACATAATGGAATATTGAAACCGAAGTATCAACGTGTTTATATGCTGCAATTTACCTATGCTTTGATGGATATCTACACCATTAAAATAGGAGCGGCTGCGAATGGTTTCTATACCCATCCAATCCCACCCCACCTCAGGACACCGACAAACTCCGCCTTGTCAATGCAAAAATTTATTAGATTTTAAATGCAATAATTATTAGCATTATATGGGCAATGAAGCGCCGATCGAGGACAACGGTGGAATGTTCAATCAGTCTTGGCCATTTCACTGTGTGTGGCTAAGACACCGAACACTTAGTATTCAAGTTAACCAACGACGATCGCCAGTAGCTGCCAAACTGTAAACTTTAGTTACGGGCTAATTTCATTCAAGACGAGCTCGTTTTGTGTGGGTGTTGGCTCACCGCCTGTTGCATGACTTCTCCGCCTTCCGAACCCCACTTTAACCCCCTCTGAAACCCCCTCAACCCATTCACATTCCCATTTTCCTAGTCGCCGGCACTGACAGTTCAGCGACAGAGATTTATGCGCTGTAATTTCCCACTTTATTACAGTTTAAAGTTGCGTTTTCATAAGTTTTGGCGCAGTTTGTCTCTTTTAGCTGCCATTTGCTTCAATTTCGCGCACTCAATGTGGCACTTTTACGTGCTATGAGATAATCAAGCGAACGGATTTATTTTATTAAGATGTGTTTAAAGGGTCTCGCACTTTTCAATTAGGTTTACATTTTATTTGCCGATCTACCAATGGTTTTTTATAAAATATGTTCTTTATAAATTTAATTATTGCCCTTCTTAACAAAGAGTATATTTTACTTCGAGTTTAAACCGAAGGCAACTCAATTTGATCTTTGATTTAAAAGCCAAAGTTTCGGGTTTCGGAGCCAAAGCCGTTGATAAGAATCTGCTCCCAAGCACTTCTTAATAAAGTTGTTGTCGGTATTATGACAATGAAAGAGAAAATCCTATTGCGCCAGGGTCTAAAAATAAGTTCAAATTCGTGTTGACAATTTTTTTTTTCGCTTGGCTTTGTTGTGTTTTGTTTGTCGTTTTATTACCATTGCGCGGACGGATTATCGCGACAAGAAGATCAAGAGCAGGAGGACCAAGGGGGTTTTGGCGGATGGGGAACAAAAATATTTATATGGATATCAAAAAATAACAAGAAGGGGCCGCCCACTGACACTGACTCAGAAAAAAAGGCGAAATACTGTAAACTGAAAAGCGTAAATCACGCTTTCGATAGATCTAAAATTAGTTTCCTGCGATAAGAAGTTGCCAGATTGTTACAGCGCGTTTCGTTGGTGTAAGACATTTGTATTTTACCTTAAAAATCAATAATTTATTAACGAACAACCAACATGTTTTAAGTTTTTGAAAAGTTTTTGAGCTATTAGACTACTGAAAAAAGGAAAAAAGCCAATATTCCAAATACAATCATGTTCTAAAAACGAAATATTACTTTTATATACTAAACAATTTTTGTAGTTCTATATTTTGTAGATAATCAAACGTTTACAACTTCACAAAGTCATTAAAGTTGTCTTGCCATATAATTTTGTTCCGCAATTTATTGTCAGGCTCTAACATAAAGGGGAATGGGAAATGTAATGGCTTGATCACTTTTGATTTTGGCTTTTATTATTTTTTTGAGTTACTGACATGAAAATTTGCATGTTGCTAGTTGCCCAAACTGCGCATAAATCCAATTAATAACATAATTATTTGGCAAGCAAAACGCAGCAGATTGTGAGACAAACCATACGAAGCTCATTTCAAGAGGCCGCCGTTAAATTTTCGTCTGCGTTTGCCACTTTTTGCGGTGCGTAGGCTGAGCCACCGAACCACCAGTTACTTGGACAAACCACCACCGCCGTATGCAAATTGCCCATATGCATTTCAGATTTTTTTTTTTTTTACCTTTTTTATGCTTAAATTGAAATATTGACTTTGCGCACTTAATTTTCGGGCTGGCAAATTTGAATTGCCAATCATAAAAAAGAGACGAGGGGTGCAAAGTTGAAGGTAAATTTCTTGCTAAACAATATGCAACATAAATTAGAATAGCAGTTAAAACAAAAAGGCAAAACCTACTGCCTTTGTGGGTGGGGTTCTCCAATGTGTGGGTGCGATGCAGCAAGAAACTTTGGATCGGGGGCGTTACTTCAGACTAACCATAAGTTTTATTGGGAACTTCTTGCGGCGTTTCTCAAAATGATTTGTGGTCTAGCCGCGGGAATTAACACCGCAGCTAAAATCGGAATGAAAAACCCCAACGCAGATTACGAATGCTAGTCACAAATCAGATTAGCCGGGAAGTTCACAAGTGATTTAGCTTGTAGGAGATTTTAGCTGGTATCAATTAATCAAAAGCTTGTTAAATATAAAAATAATTCAAAGGCAATTGACTGAAAAGTTATTTCTCGAATGACTTGTTAGAAATATAATGACGCAGACCCTTTAGAATTAGTAAAAACTTTGGCTAGTAAAAACATTTCAAGAATACAATTTTAAACACAAAGACTATTTCTTTTGGTCAGTGCTCACTGTATCAAATCACCGAAGCAAACCGCAGAAATGAAATAAAACAAAAAACCCAAGAGAACCCAGATCGGAACCACTAGAAAAATCAAACCCAACCACCCACATGTCGAGCGGTTCGCCAAGTGGAATCGAGTGCACACTTCGCAAATCTCCTCGTCTTGTGTCGCGCTTCGCTTCAGTTACCTTCGACAAAGGAAAATCTGCTGCTGCAAGTGCAGTGCTGCCAGTTTGGCTTTCCACCCACTAAATTGAGCCTTTTTCGACGTTCTATAGGGAAATTATCTTAGAACTAAAACAAAACTGCACTAGAAACAATTATTTATTATGTCCAATAAGATGAATAAATTCGAATTTTACAATGTGTAAGAAATATTTCCCAGTTAATTTAAAGTATTCTATCGATGGTTTAAAAGTTCCTTAACATGAATATGTATTTATCATACTTGTATTTACCCTTTAAAGACGTTGCCAGCTTATATAGATTTCTGTGCTATAATCGAATACCATTTTAAAGACAGAATATTACGTTCGTGTTCTGATAAAAAAAAATTTAGACCTGGTATATGTACATATGTAAGGCATTTTTAAGAAAATTTTTAAAGTCTAGTTTTGTATTTATATTTTGTTATTGTGGTAGCTAAAATCGAATGGTAAAAAAAATGTCAACACTGCCTCAGCTAACTGCAATATTACCCACTGCAATTGCAATATTAATTGCGCACGGCCCCTGCGATTTTCCCTCACCCGCTGCTTTTTTCTCTCTCGCTGCCTCTGCTGCTGATAACAAATAAAGATGCGCATCAAAAACAGCGAAGCGTAGATAAGCACACAAAAATACACATATCTAAAACTTAATTTTTGTGAAAAGGTATTTAAAATTTTTTTGAGAAAAGTATAAACAAAAGTATACTTTTCTAATAGAGTTCGGTAAACTAAATCCGAATCTGGCCACAAAAATTTGCAAACACGTCAACGATTTAAAAAAAAGTTGCACTTTGTTGGAAAAGGAAAAATGCCATACAAATGTTATTTAAAGAAATGATAAGTTTAGTAAATGTAAATTACTGGTAAAGAATTACTTCTAAAGTGGAACTGATTAATTAGAATGAACTTATTATTCTATTGGGATTGCATAGGATTAAATACAAGTTTTTTAAATCTAAAATAATATGACCTTTGGTTCGTGGATAACTTGAAATTGTTATTTACTTATTACCAACAATTGAATCACCCCTCTTGTTTCTATTGGAGCTCCGCATCTCTGGCGGCAAAGTTTCTGATAAGATTCACCCAGAGAGGTGCTGTTTATTATTTACCGTTTGAAAGCCGGAGAGAAGAGAGCAAAATTATCAAATGAAGCCCAATAGCTGAGTCATAAAGGTAGGAATAAAGAGAGCAAAGTTCCCCCTCTAATTCGATTAATCACCGAAATGTGCAGCGCATATTTTGATTGTTTTCTTTTTTTTTGTTATGGTGCACTTGAAATTGGTGATTCCGCACCTGTGCTGCTGCCAGAGATGCCGACTGAGGCAGAGGTTCTAGTGAAAATGAAAACAAATTTTCAAACAAGAACTTCAAGTATTTTCAAAACATAATAAAAATATAATTTTATTGTGCGTATTTATAAGTGATGCTACTTTTCTCCCCACTTTTTTTTTGTTAAATTAATGGCGCGCACACACTTATACATACACAATGCATACAACACACAAACATATTGCAGCATATTCTTATAAGAATAAAACGGTGATCGTCCCTGCAAAGAACAACAACAACAGCTTTTTCTTTTTGCCCCACCGACACAACAACAACAAGCGAAGTATAAGAAGAAGCACCAGCATAGCACAAATACAGGCAAACGTTTTTCTCCCCTCTTTCAACCGAACGTAATTGCACTTAAAAACTGATTTTCTTTTGCGAAAAATAGTTGAAAACTCGCTGGTTACTACTCACGCGTATATTTGAGCACTTTGTGCTGGATTATTTGGACATTTTTAATGCTTTTCGACGCCGCAAGTGTGCGTAAATTGTTTTTCAAAATTGTTTATCACGAAATGCACACACAACACACAGCGACATTGAGTTCAGTGTGGCCATTGGTGTAAAAATATACCAAGTCCCCCCCAAATATACCAAAACTAGAGATGGGACACCGCACGACTATCCATAAAAGGCGACATAGGAAACTATCTAATTTTAAATAGCTTTAGACAAAATTTATTCAAGAGATAATCTTCGATAATCTTTTTAACGCACTTCTTATAACCTTTAGTCCCAAATATAATAACTTAATCATGAAAAATTCTGGTTTAATCCCTATTACACTTACTTATTGTTGTGGTTGGTGTCAAAACAATTTGTTGTCAATGATTGAAATGAGAATGATTGTACATTTTAGAAGACTACTTTAACTATACCATTAATATTTATTTGTTTTTAATTCAAGATATAACGGATAATAATAACATTTTGTTGACGTATTAATTGCCGATATGTTTGCAATCGATAAATTGCCATCGCCAGCTGAGCGCGCTTTGTTTTTGGCAGAGCAGAGCATTTGCGAAATTCTTTTTGGGTGAATTATTTTTTTGTACTTCCAGTGAGTTCTCCCAAAAATTAAGATAATTAACAATATGAAGGAGTGTCCATATGGCGAGAAGTGTTATAGGAAGAATCCCATTCATTTCGGCGAGTTTTCCCATGCACATTGTGAGTTAAGCCAAAGTATGAGCCTTAAAATCATATTAATACGGATTATTTCTAAGTGGATACCATCTATGAGAAGGGAAATGGCTCAGGGGATTACGATATACCAGCCAAATACTCCACTGAAATGATTCAAACCCAATTAAAGTTGCTGGAGAAGCTGTTTCCCAAGTCAGGAGCTAAAAAGGAGAAAGAAGCAAATGTTTCTGGTTCGAAACCACCAGTACCTGCTTCGACAAGCAGTGGATCTTCTACTTCTGGATCTTCGAATTCCAATCCAAGTGGCTCCTCAAACTCCCGACCAGCTGCTCCCATCGACACCTCCAATTTGGCCAAAAAACAGAAGCTGAATGCGAAGAACATAAGGGATTACATTCCTGTGGTTCTGGAAAAGGGGGGGATGGCCAAAAAACTGGAGCGCGCTGCTCCCTATAACATGTTCCTCACGGCGATTACGGATTCGAAACCCACCCACTCGGAACCCCTAAGCATAACCCTACAGGAAATCCTCGACGAGAGTCTGGGCGACATCGAGAGCACCGTGCAGATCAACTTTATGGTGGACATTGGATGGCTCCTGGGGCATTACTATTTTGCCGGGATACTGTAAGTAAACGAACTAAAGTATTTGATTTATTGGGTACTATAGATGTCTATGAAAAAAATCGTTCATTATATTAGTTAAAATAAGATCATTAGATAAATTGATTGGCAATTGATTGCTTGCAAACATATTCTTGAGTAACTAAATATTTGCTATTATTCCTAGGTTATTTATTCAAAGTTGCTGAAAACTATATTTTCATTTTTCCATTCGAAAACATAACTATAAATTATGTATTTCTCTACTTTTTACTTGTTCTTTGTAGTAGATCCATTTCAAGTACTTGTTTGCTCTAAAATACTAGTCGTCAAATTACAGGGACAAACCACTTCTGGTTCTCTATGGCGACGAATCGCCGGAGCTGCTAAGCATTAGTAAATTAAAGCCGCAGGTTACGGCCATACATGTAAGGATGCCCACGCCCTTTGCCACTTCGCACACCAAAATGATGTTCCTGGGCTACAGCGATGGTTCTATGCGAGTGGTCATCTCCACGGCCAATCTGTACGAGGACGACTGGCACAATCGCACGCAGGGCTTGTGGATAAGTCCGAAGCTTCCTGCTTTGCCGGAGGATGCGGATACGGGAGCCGGCGAAAGCCAGACGGGATTCAAACAAGATCTAATGCTATATTTGGTGGAGTACAAGATCAGTCAGTTGCAGCCGTGGATTGCGAGGATCCGAAAGAGTGACTTCAGCGCCATAAAGTAGGATATATCCAAGCCATTCTTGATCAATCCTATTAACTAATCCTTCTATAGCGTATTCTTTTTGGGCTCTGTGCCGGGAGGTCATCGCGAGAGCTCCGTGAGGGGACATCCGTGGGGTCACGCCCGCTTAGGCTCCTTACTGTCCAAACACGCGGCTCCCATCGAAGATCGTATACCTGTGATCTGTCAGAGCTCGAGTATTGGAAGCTTAGGTGCTAATGTACAGGCCTGGATACAGCAGGATTTCGTCAATAGCCTGAAGAAGGATTCCTCACCTGCGGGAAAACTCCGCCAGATGCCGGTTTTCAAAATGATTTATCCCAGTTTCGGCAACGTCTCGGGTAGTCATGATGGAATGTTGGGTGGCGGATGTCTGCCCTATGGGAAAAACACTAATGATAAACAGCCCTGGCTAAAAGAGCACCTGCAGCAATGGAAGTCAAGCGATCGCTATCGATCTCGTGCCATGCCGCACATCAAAAGCTATACGCGCTATAACCTGGAGAATCAGTCTGTATATTGGTTCGTTCTTACCTCTGCGAATCTTTCAAAAGCAGCTTGGGGCTGCTTCAATAAGAACTCCAATATTCAACCGTGTCTTAGAATCGCCAACTATGAAGTTGGTGTCCTCTTCCTGCCCAGATTTGTGGTAAGTTTAGCGATTGCTCAATGAAAATGTATGATAATTGTTATCTATATATTTCAGACTGGTGAAGACACTTTTCCTTTGGGCAATAATCGCGATGGTGTACCCGCTTTTCCACTGCCCTACGATGTTCCATTAACGCCCTATGCTCCAGATGACAAGCCCTTCCTGATGGATTATCTACAGGGATAAAATTTACATGGCTGCTGTTTAGATGGGCAGTTTGTATCTTTTAATTTGAATATTTTGTGTGGTTCCATGAAAATAGTTGTTCCTCTGGTATTTTACTCACTGCTTATTGTATTTGTGTTACTCATTTTATGAGTTTTGGGCATTAACCTGAGTTCATGTTTATTTATTTATATAATTTTTTGAATTTGGCATTAAGGAAAATCAAAAATAAATTCGGCGGCATAAAAGCCCTAATAAGCTTATTATTTGTTTAGTTCAATTTGACCTACTGCCACAAAGAAGAGGCAGTTCATTTGTACATGTATTTTAAATGTATTTTAGCCTGGCCTGTATGGTTGGCCTGGCTTTCGACCTGCTTTTGGTTTCAGTCTACTTTCTTTGGGATGTTTAAGTATTTGTCCAATCCCTAAGCCATATATCATCATTCGGATTTGGTTAAAGCATGACAGATTTCCATTTCTAGTCATATTCCAGGCGCCGAAATCTGCATTCCGTTTGTACTTTATCTCCGGTAAACTCTAGTGCTCGTAATACCATTGATTTTACTCAGCTTTTACTACCGAAAAGTAATTCGCAAAGAACTCAGCAACATTCATGGGATCCATGTTGGTTCCCTCGGGTTTTGCCAGAGTTAATTTTGGATGTCGGACTTTAAAGTTACGAAACCATTCCAATCCCGCCATTTCGTCACGTTGCCAAGAAATTGGACAGACGACATTAATGTGTTTAACATATTGATAAGCTAGAGATCGGGTCTGTTTCGAAGTTAATCCAAAGTAGTCATTGGCTACATAAAGAAAGTGTTCCAAAACTGTTTCCTGCTCTTGGGTAAATACCTATAAAAGTCGTAAAGAAATATAAGTATTGGAATCCTAGAATATAGCTTTAAACCCTACTGTTTTGTATCCTATTGGCGCTATCTCCACATCGTTAATGTCAACCTCTGTTTCCGGATCGTCTGGTATTATCGTTTCATTATTTCGGCGATGGAGCAGTAGTGTACTTCGTGGTATTCCGAATATATTGGATGCCGCTCTTAGGGAAATTCCCGATTTCATTGCTGCCACTGCTCCACGAAGAATAGCGGGATCTCTTTTGGGGGTTTTCCTCTTATAATTTCGCATATTCGATTTGTGTTCTAAAATTAACAAAATACAATATAGTGGTGAAAGCTTTTTGCGATAGTCAAACGATATGCCGAACAAATTAAATAATCCAAAAATAAAAAAAGTACCGACAATAATAGCCAACTATCGATAGTTTCCGAACACCGCCCACGCAGTTGGTATTTTTGAAATGCACCGCCTGCGGTCACACAAAATCTAGTAGTTAAAAAAACGCAGAAGGCGAAGGCAGAAATTCCGTGTACAATTCAAATCCGGTTCCTTTGGAAAGTGTTCACATATATTTGCCACCCAAAAAATAGCAAACGATCTGAATAAAAACACAAACATACACGATACACAATAACCACTCGCAAAAACAGGAAAACTCAAGGAGTGCGGAATAATCTAGGGATAAGTGGACTGGATGATAGGGCAGCCCATCTGCCTGAGCAAAAGTTGGAGGACACTGCGACACCATGTCCACCGCCTTCCTGACGCTAATCGCCGTCATCGTCTGCATCCTTTTTCGCATATTAAATGTCCACAGTCAGCCGCTGAAGCCGAGTGTGTGGTGCCTGGACGCCCAGTTCCTGGACTGCCTCTACAAAATAGCGCCAGTGCTGAGGGAGCCGTAAGTTATCCATAGTGTTTTTCGCATTTCCCCTTGACACGCCCACAAAGGCGCTCTAGGGGAGGCAGTAATCATAACATAAATATCCAAAACCACAGGTGTGGCCAAAGCAAATATTTCCAAAACCTTTTAAACCATTTTCATGAGGTGCAGCTTTAGACAAAACAAATTAAAAATTAAAAAAAATATTATGCAAGTTGTATATTTTTCTTGGGATACGTGAAATATATTACTCTCCCAGATATTTGAATATTATTTAAAATAATTAAATTTGTATAGATCACAAGCTGAAGTAATGCAGCAAGTTAAGTAGATCAGAATCATTTTCATACATTTAATGAAGTAAGTTGACAGGGGTTTTATGAGGTTTAAAAACGTCTATAAATAAAAAAAACCGAATAAATATAAAAGCCTATTAAAATAGTTATGGCTTAAGTAGGAAACTATTTTTAGAAAGCTTCAACATTCGAAACATTCTTAGTAAGCAAACATTTGACTTTATTTTAATTATTATATGACGAAATTCGTTTTTTTAATAAGGACATTCTTTAATATTATTAGTTGCTAATATACCTGGCTTGGGCTGCAAAATTTCTTTAAAAAAAGTAATTTTCATAATGCTGTTTGTTTGACCACTACTATAATATTACTCATGCCATCGTAGGCCAGGCTATTAACTATGCCATCAGCATCACAGTCGAGTCAAAATGTTAGTTTGCCCATTCGTGTAATTATCCCAGTCCGTTTGCCATCACATTTGGTGATAAACAAATCTGCAATTACCTCAAATTACTTCAAATGTCCAATTAGCTGGCATATGGAAACGACGGTATTGTTTTACTCAGTCCGTCAAATTCCCAGCTGTTGAGTGAATCATTAGTGACTTTTAATCAATAAAACTGATGTCGCTGTCTGAATATTTCACAAATTAATTAAACTTTTCACCCACTATCTGTTAAATGCATTTGCGGGTTTCATTGATTAAATGCAATTTTATAAGTTTTATTAGTGCTAACAGCTTTCAATACTTGAAACAATAGAACTGATTGTTTGACACATGTGTTCAATATGGACTCCTATATTATAAAACACTCGTTGCTGTCTGCGGTTTATTGTTATCGGTGAAATAATAAACCCTTACTCACAAGACGGAGACTTTTGCACTCATAGGCCAACAATATTTTACGAGTTTAAATAGGTTATCAGGCATAGGAAATTGTTTTTCAAGTTTTTTGTAAGGTTATTAATGTCAGGAAATTGCAATAACGAATGGAATTGTTTTTGAATTGGAACTTTTTCTGATACTCATAATAATAATGCAAAAAAAATATGATAATATAACGGATATAAAAACTAAAAGAAATAACATTTTTGGAATGCCTCGAAAATATATTACTCATTTATAGATTAAATTCCTTTTTGGTTTCCAAAATATCCGGACAAACATTTTTCCTTGGTTGTGTCCACGCGCCTGGAAAATTTTCATACGATTTCATTATTTTCGCTTTCGGCATTTCCCTTCTGCCGACCAACCGCATAATTAAATGAAATTTTGTACAATCTTTTTCTTCACAATTTTTTAATTTACTTTTTCTGTGTGTCTGCCAGAATGGGCGATAAGCAGTATTAATATAAAATGTAGGCACAAAGTTCGTACCACAATTACGCAGTGGGCTAGGCAAATAAATAGAGACGGCGACTAACGCCTAGCAACTCGATTATGGCCACAAAATTGACTGTCAGCCCGATAATCGCGTGGGAGTTCCCTGAAGACATATGTATATATATTTGTGTGTAGAAATGTAAGATGATAATGAAAAAAAGTGCCGGCGAAACGTTTGCGCCATATTTTATTTAGCATTTGGCTCATTCAAATGCCGGCACTACCTGTGATTGTTTTTGTTTTTTGTTTTGGCGCTTTGCCCACTCGGCTACCGCTTTTGTTTAACAACAAAGATTGCGTAAGCAAGTTCTCTCGATTGCTCTGCACCTTTCTTCCCCTCTCACCTGTCTCCGGTAAAAAACCGGTTGAAAGGTGAGATTAACTCAGGTAAAAAGCTAGAGAGGCTATTCATTTAGCCATCTTATGTTACTTTCCAACCCTCTTACAAGCGATGTTATGTCTTAGCATTTTCTAAAATCAAAATATTCTTACAATTTTTCAAATTTCTACTCAGTTATTTCTAAAATAATTTATACTCTCAATTTGTAAAATATATTAATAAAATTATAGTTGTACATTGTTCCCAAAAATGAAAAATAATATATGCTGAAAAAGTTGTATACTCCGTATTACTTTATGCGTCGACTTAGCAGTTTATATTAGGCATTAAAGAACATAATTTTTAAAAGTGGTAATCCCTAATTGGCTAATAAACAGACAGATTCAATTACCATAATGATATAACGTCTGCCCTGTGTACATTAATCTGTAGTTGTTATAAACTAATAAGGCTTACGTAAAGATCAAATGCCGAGAAGCTTTAGGGGTATCTAATTTTCTAGCAACCAATAAGTGAAGACGTTTACTTTAAGGGGTGCGACATTGAAAATTGCCACGGTGACTCATTTGCACATTTTGTTGTTCACTTTCCTACAATTATTGTTGTCGACTTTTTACTTTTAGGTGGGAAAGATTTGCAGCTGTTTTCCTATTTTAGTGGGGAGAACCTTTACGACGCATTCACCTTTTACGACACAAAAGTAAATTTCATATGTATGTCCTCGCATTATTCATTAAATATCTGGGTTGATTGGTGTTCGGAAATTCATGTTTGGAAATGATTAAAAATTGAGCAGGTACATTTGTATGTATATATGCCGGAATTTGTGCAAGTTCTCGAAGTGACCACGCCCCTCCACCCACTTTTTCCACAATTTTACTTTGATTGATACTAATTGAAAGGCTACTGTTGCTAAGCTCACAAATGGATACACAAATTGTATCACGTTTTTGCACGCCTGACATGATTTTTGATACACGGGAAAAAATGTGCTAACAAATTTATAGTTTTGTATTAATAATAAACACTACCTTTTGTAGTTCACCAAAAATTTTCCGTACACCCCCAACAAAATTTTTGGTTGAACTCATGAGAGATATTACTTTGATTTAAAATTTTAGTAGTAATCTCTACTCTTACTTTTATAAAAATTTAAAAAACTGTATATCAATTTCTATTTATTTTATGTATTATTTTGATAAGTATTATTACGATACTAGTTTTTTAATTTCTAAAATATGATACACAAATGTACTATAGAGTTTTTTGTGGTTTTCTATTATTTTGTTCTATTTTTTCCTCTGTGCATATGCCACTTTCTCCATCTAATTTTGGTGTTGTTGCGTGCTCAATTAGGTTCAATTGGTTCTAATGCTGTTTTCAGAATTGCGGCTTTGTGCATTTACTTCCAGTCTCTTTCGCATTTGTAAGTCATCCCATTGAAAAACTTGGACGCAGATCAAAATTCAATTTGTATGAATTATATTTAGTCAAATTTGGCAAATTGCCCGCTAACGAACTGGAAGCAATTGTATGCAGATTTATTATTGCTGTGATAATTCAAAGCGCAATGTCAAGGGCAAACAAAGCCAAATACGTAAAATACAATGGCTGAAATATAAGTGGCCAAAAGAAAACAAAAAGCGAAATCAGCACAAGCCCGGTTAAAAACAAAAAAAAAAACATTTTTGTTGACTGATAAGAAGTTTGCTGATAAAACGATTTAGCTTTTGTTATACAATTTTTGTTTATGTATGCATTTTTAAATAATTGTTTGCTCATTTACCCAACTGGGCATTATTACTCAAAATTTAATTAAAAATAGGCTATTTATTACTATTCTTATATACATTTATATTAATAAACACATTGTTTTCACTACTTTCAGTTACATTCCACCACGTCTTTGGGGCTTCAGTGGTCATGTCCAGACCGTTTTGCACAGCATTGTGGGCCGAGTGCGTTGTCCTTGGCCCTTGGGTGAACGTGTCTACATGTCGCTGCATGATGGCTCTACCCTAACATACGACTTGTACCAGCCACTCAACGAACAGGAGGGTAAGTGACTAAACTTATTCTTAATCTATGAAAAAGAGTTAATCATTCCTCACGTTCCTATAGATGACATCACGGTGGCCATTTGTCCGGGCATTGCCAACAGCTCGGAATCGGTGTACATTCGCACCTTTGTCCATTTGGCCCAGTGCAATGGATACCGCTGTGCGGTGCTAAATCACATTGGAGCATTGCGCAGTGTCCAGGTGACCTCCACGCGCATTTTTACCTATGGCCACACGGAGGATTTCGCGGCCATGGTGGAGAACTTGAACCAGAAGTACCGCCAAAGTCGAATCGTGGCGGTTGGTTTCAGTCTGGGCGGTAATTTAGTAACCAAATATATGGGCGAGGACCAAAAGACAAAGCCCATCAGTGTAATTGGAGGCATATCTATATGCCAAGGCTACAATGCCGTCGAGTGAGTTATTATTTCAACTGAATTGAATTGGTTATAACATTTGTACCTATCTTTTTTAGGGGCACCAAATGGCTGCTCAATTGGCAGAACTTCCGACGCTTTTACCTGTACATCATGACGGAGAACGTGAAAAGCATTATCCTGAGACATCGCCACGTCCTGCTGTCCGACGAAGTGAAGACTCGACATAATCTCAACGAGCGCGACATCATCGCAGCTGCCACGCTACCCGAATTGGATGAGGCCTATACGAGACGAGTGTACAATTTCCCCTCCACCCAGGAGCTGTACAAGTGGAGCTCGTCGCTGTTCTACTTCGATTCGATTAAGAAGCCCATGATCTTTATTAATGCCAAGGATGATCCCTTGATTCCAGAGAATTTGCTGCATCCCATCAAGGAGTATGCCAGTGAGTAGAAAGCATTAATATATGCTTTTTTTATTTACTCATCCATTACTTCTTTTCTCCTCAGCCACTCGGCAATACACTGCCTACGTGGAGGTGGCCCATGGCGGTCATCTGGGCTTTTATGAGGGCGGTTTCCTATACCCAAACCCGGTGACTTGGCTGGATCGCACACTGGTGGCCATGGTTGGATCTTTGGTCATGATGCAGGAAGTCGGCAAGGTGGCTTCTTAGGCCATCACACTATTCCCCCACGCACACATGACTATTAAACGCTTTGGTGTCAAAATTGGTTGTCGCTAACGGATATGAATCTTTGAAGGAACATCGGAATCGAGCCCGAAAGACCCCATACAATAGTTCTAACATATAATATCGATGTGACACAAGTAAAAACTATCAGCCGCGCAAGCAGGAAACATAAATTGATGTATACTTTTGCAAAGTGCATTTAAAACAGAAATTGCAGTTTTTCAACAACGGTTTTAACGCTTTTTTGATGGCTTGAAGAGCCAAAAATACAATGTATCAGTTGAACTTAGTTAACGCGAACCACATATATACATGTACTTATATTTAAGCAAATTCCTATTTATTAGCATTTTACTTTGTGATCTAACAGGTTTTAATTATGTATATTTTTATATGTGAAATGTACACCAGACACCGCACACAAAATATGATGTATGACAGTAATTATAAATTGTAAGTCCCCGGCCGCACCATACCATAGAAAATAGCAACAATAATGCCTTATTGTAGACCTTGTTTTGTAAGTGTGTATATGATTTTAGATATTCAGTTTGTACTACGATGCATTTCACGGAAATCAAAGAGAAACCAAAAAATTTGCCCAACGACGGCTTCAATTTTGTATACTTTTTCTGATCTTTACCAAGTTGATAGTCAGATGGATACGCGATTTGTTTACCGATATAGTAGAGTATGAAGAAATATTTATAAATGTATTTGTAAAAGTATTTATAAATGTATATTAAAACGAATAAATAACAGTTGATTAAAAAAGCCAAAAAGTTCTCTCGTTTTTACATATTTTTAAAATATGTAAAAACATTTGTGCTCGTATACGGTCGCACTAATTTCGATACTCGCTGGCATCGGATTTACTTTACAATTCTTTTACACGTAACATAACATGAGTTTTGACACTTTATGTGACAAGAGCAGTCGTGGCCGAGCGGTTAAGGCGTCTGACTAGAAATCAGATTCCCTCTGGGAGCGTAGGTTCGAATCCTACCGACTGCGAGAAACCAACGATTTATTTTTTTTATTTTGTTCTTAATATTTTTTTTTGATTTGTTCCTAACATTTAATTTATAACACGCCTGATAAATTTGTATTTAAATTTCCATTAATATCCCAATATGTTTGGCGTGGTTCAGATACGTCGACCTAGGTCTTTTTCATCCGTGTGTCAAGCTAATAGGTGGTTTTAAGCTGAGAAAACTCATGAAGCTTTAATTGTTAAAATGATACCCCAATTGGAATTCTAGAGTCCATAACGTTGCCAAATTTAATCCGATTTCAAAATGACGTACCTCTTCAGACTTGTGGATTGATTCTCTAAAAAACTGCATTCAAATTTTTCATTTTAACGTTTATTTCCAAGTTTCCGATGTGTTGTTAAAAAGTGGCCCTCAACTGGACTTGCGAAGTCCATATCTTTATCAAATTTTATCCGATTCCAAAGTGGCATACCTCGGAAGACTTGTGGATTGATTCTCTAAAAAACTGCATTCAAATTTTTTCATTTTAACGTTGATCAAATTTTTGACCCATTTTCATGTCATTTATTTCCAAGTTTATCAAATTTTATCCGATTCGCAAGTGGCATACCTCTGAAGACTTGTGGATTGATTATCTAAAAAACTGCATTCAAATTTTTCATTTTAACGTTGATCAAATTTTTGACCCATTTTCATGTCATTTATTTCCAAGTTTTCGATGTGTTGTTAAAAAGTGGCCTTCAACTGGACTTCCGAAGTCCATAACTTTATCAAATTTTATCCGATTCCAAAGTGGCATACCTCTGAAGACTCGTAATTTAATTCTCTAAAAAACTGCATTCAAATTTTTCATTTTAACGTTGATCAAATTTTTGACCCATTTTCATGTCATTTATTTCCAAGTTTCCGATGTGTTGTTAACAGGTGGCCCTCAACTGGACTTCTGAAGTCCCATAACTTTATCAAAATTTATCCGATTCGCAAGTGGCATACCTCTGAAGACTTGTGGATTGATTATCTAAAAAACTGCATTCAAATTTTTCATTTTAACGTTGATCAAATTTTTGACCCATTTTCATGTCATTTATTTCCAAGTTTCCGATGTGTTGTTTAAAAGTGGCCCTCAAGTGGACTTGCGAAGTCCATAACTTTATCAAATTTTATCCGATTCCAAAGTGGCATACCTCTGAAGACTCGTAATTTAATTCTCTAAAAAACTGCATTCAAATTTTTCATTTTAACGTTGATCAAATTTTTGACCCATTTTCATGTCATTTATTTCCAAGTTTCCGATGTGTTGTTTAAAAGTGGCCCTCAACTGGACTTGCGAAGTCCATAACTTTATCAAATTTTATCCGATTCCAAAGTGGCATACCTCTGAAGACTTGTGGATTGATTCTCTAAAAAACTGCATTCAAAATTTTCATTTTAACGTTGATCAAATTTTTGACCCATTTTCATGTCATTTATTTCCAAGTTTCCGATGTGTTGTTTAAAAGTGGCCCTCAACTGGACTTGCGAAGTCCATAACTTTATCAAATTTTATCCGATTCCAAAGTGGCATACCTCTGAAGACTTGTGGATTGATTATCTAAAAAACTGCATTCAAAATTTTCATTTTAACGTTGATCAAATTTTTGACCCATTTTCATGTCATTTATTTCCAAGTTTCCGGTGTGTTGTTTAAAAGTGGCCCTCAACTTGACTTGCGAAGTCCATAACTTTATCAAATTTTATCCGATTCCAAAGTGGCATACCTCTGAAGACTTGTGGATTGATTCTCTAAAAAACTGCATTCAAAATTTTCATTTTAACGTTGATCAAATTTTTGACCCATTTTCATGTCATTTATTTCCAAGTTTCCGGTGTGTTGTTAAAAAGTGGCCCTCAACTGGACTTGCGCAGTCCATAACTTTATCAAATTTTATCCGATTCCAAAGTGGCATACCTCTGAAGACTTGTGGATTGATTCTCTAAAAAACTGCATTCAAAATTTTCATTTTAACGTTGATCAAATTTTTGACCCATTTTCATGTCATTTATTTCCAAATTTCCGATGTGTTGTTTAAAAGTGGCCCTCAAGTGGACTTCCGAAGTCCATAACTTTATCAAATGTTATCCGATTCGCAAGTGGCATACCTCTGAAGACTTATGGATTGATTCTCTAAAAAACTGCATTCAAAATTTTCATTTTAACGTTGATCAAATTTTTGACCCATTTTATTGTCATTTATTTCCAAATTTCCGATGTGTTGTTAAAAAGTGGCCCTCAACTGGACTTGCGCAGTCCATAACTTTATCAAATTTTATCCGATTCCAAAGTGGCATACCTCTGAAGACTTGTGGATTGATTCTCTAAAAAACTGCATTCAAAATTTTCATTTTAACGTTGATCAAATTTTTGACCCATTTTCATGTCATTTATTTCCAAATTTCCGATGTGTTGTTTAAAAGTGGCCCTCAAGTGGACTTCCGAAGTCCATAACTTTATCAAATGTTATCCGATTCGCAAGTGGCATACCTCTGAAGACTTATGGATTGATTCTCTAAAAAACTGCATTCAAAATTTTCATTTTAACGTTGATCAAATTTTTGACCCATTTTCATGTCATTTATTTCCAAATTTCTGATGTGTTGTTTAAAAGTGGCCCTCAAGTGGACTTGCGAAGTCCATAACTTTATCAAATTTTATCCGATTCCAAAGTGGCATACCTCTGAAGACTCGTAATTTAATTCTCTAAAAAACTGCATTCAAATTTTTCATTTTAACGTTGATCAAATTTTTGACCCATTTTCATGTCATTTATTTCCAAATTTCCGATGTGTTGTTTAAAAGTGGCCCTCAAGTGGACTTCCGAAGTCCATAACTTTATCAAATGTTATCCGATTCGCAAGTGGCATACCTCTGAAGACTTATGGATTGATTCTCTAAAAAACTGCATTCAAAATTTTCATTTTAACGTTGATCAAATTTTTGACCCATTTTATTGTCATTTATTTCCAAATTTCCGATGTGTTGTTAAAAAGTGGCCCTCAACTGGACTTGCGCAGTCCATAACTTTATCAAATTTTATCCGATTCCAAAGTGGCATACCTCTGAAGACTTGTGGATTGATTCTCTAAAAAACTGCATTCAAAATTGTCATTTTAACGTTGATCAAATTTTTGACCCATTTTCATGTCATTTATTTCCAAGTTTCCGATGTGTTGTTAAAAAGTGGCCCTCAACTGGACTTCCGAAGTCCATAACTTTATCAAATGTTATCCGATTCGCAAGTGGCATACCTCTGAAGACTTATGGATTGATTCTCTAAAAAACTGCATTCAAAATTTTCATTTTAACGTTGATCAAATTTTTGACCCATTTTATTGTCATTTATTTCCATGTTTCCGATGTGTTGTAAAAAAGTTTCCCTCAAGTGGACTTGCGAAGCCCATAACTTTGTTAAATTTTATCCGATTCCAAAGTGGCATACCTCTGAAGACTTGTGGATTGATTCTCTAAAAAACTGCATTCAAAATTTTCATTCTAACGTTGATCAAATTTTTGACCCATATTCATGTCATTTATTTCCAAATTTCTGATGTGTTGTTAAAAGGTGGCCCACAATTCGACTTCCAGAGTCCATAACTTTATCAAATTTTATCCGATTCCAAAGTGGCATACCTCGGAAGACTTGTGGATTGATTCTCTAAAAATCTGCATTCAAAATTTTCATTTTAACGTTGATCAAATTTTTGACCCATTTTCATGTCATTTATTTCCATGTTTCCGATGTGTTGTTAAAAAGTGGCCCTCAACTGGACTTCCGAAGTCCATAACTTTATCAAATGTTATCCGATTCGCAAGTGGCATACCTCTGAAGACTTGTGGATTGATTCTCTAAAAAACTGCATTCAAAATTTTCATTTTAACGTTGATCAAATTTTTGACCCATTTTCATGTCATTTATTTCCAAATTTCTGATGTGTTGTTAAAAGGTGGCCCACAATTCGACTTCCAGAGTCCATAACTTTATCAAATTTTATCCGATTCCAAAGTGGCATACCTCGGAAGACTTGTGGATTGATTCTCTAAAAAACTGCATTCAAAATTTTCATTTTAACGTTGATCAAATTTTTGACCCATTTTCATGTCATTTATTTCCAAATTTCCGATGTGTTGTTTAAAAGTGGCCCTCAAGTGGACTTGCGAAGCCCATAACTTTGTTAAATTTTATCCGATTCCAAAGTGGCATACCTCTGAAGACTTGTGGATTGATTCTCTAAAAAACTGCATTCAAAATTTTCATTTTAACGTTGATCAAATTTTTGACCCATTTTCATGTCATTTATTTCCATGTTTCCGATGTGTTGTTAAAAAGTGGCCCTCAACTGGACTTGCGAAGTCCATAACTTTATCAAATTTTATCCGATTCGCAAGTGGCATACCTCTGAAGACTTGTGGATTGATTCTCTAGAAAACTGCATTCAACTTTATCATTTCAACGTTGATCAATTTTTTGACCAATAACGTGCAGTTAATTATTTGTAAGATTTTGATGATTTGTAAAAAGGTGACCCACAATTGGTCTTCTAGAGCCCTTAACCTTACCAAATTTATGATTGTGAGGTACATTAAGGTGAGGACGGTAAATAACTGTTTTTTTAAATGTTCGAGTTAAAAAAAACGACAATTTTTATAACTTATGAGAGCTAAAGAGCGTACCGGGGTGAGTACCATCCTACATGGAATAAATAAATTTTAAATATAATTGCGTTTTTAAGAACTATTAAACATTTTTGTCAGCATACACTTAAGATATTGTATATTTTTAAAGAATAGTCTAAGGTTTTAAATTCGATATAAATTCGATGACACAACATATGTTTGTGCGCCTAACAGCACAATGTAATGGGTACAGGGTGCCCAAAGCACTTTCGTTATGAATAAAAACTTGGGGTGTAAACAAACCACTTAATAAATAGAAAACAAACTAAACCGTAAGAGTTATTATTTAAAGGTTGGCCTGTTCTGATAGTTAGATTTCAGAAAAATGGATACCCTGTGTCGCGTTTGCATGCTGAGCTCAAAGGACATGATAAACATTTTCGATGGAAACCCAGAATCCGAAACATCTATTGCGGATATTATTTCTCACTATATTGGATTGGAAGTTACACGAGGAGATTTATTTTCTGAAACTATTTGCGCACTGTGCCTGCAGGATGCCCGAGATTATAGGATTTTGGGAAGTTCTGAGCAAAGCCAGCAGATCCGCCCTCAAGTAAAGCAAGAAAATGGGGTTTATAAGGAGGATTTTCTGCAGGAGGAGGTGAATCAAATATTACACTGCCAAGTGAAGGAGGAGTCCATTGAGAAGGATTTATTGGTGGAGGTGGTCTACGGGATACCAGACTGCAAGAGAGATATATCCTTTTCTGCTCAAGGGGTCAGGTACCAAGTGAAAGAAGAGCAAACTGAACAAGAGGGAGCCCAGCAGTTCTATGGCCAAAATTGCCATAAAAAAAGTAAGAATATTGAAGTCTGTGATACCAACGATATTGATGTGGATTATCAGGGCCCATTCAAGTGCCTACTCTGTGAGCAGAGCTTTCCACATGAATGGAGTCTTCAAGTGCATGCTCGTATCCACGTTGGAAGATGGCCCTTTAAGTGCACCCAGTGCCCCAAATCATGTCGAACTGCAGGGGATCTTAGGCTCCACAATCGAATTCACACCGGGGAACGACCGTACCAATGCGATTATTGCGAAAAGTCATTCAGGGAACGCCAGGGCTTAAAGGTCCACATACGAGTTCACACAGGAGAACGTCCCTATAAGTGCAGTTATTGCGAAAAGACCTATAAGGAGCGGAAATCACTCAGGGTTCACATCCGCAATCACACAGGCGATCGGCCATACAAGTGTTCCTACTGCCACTCTTCATTTGCGGATCCATCCAGCCACAGAAGTCACATAAAGATCCACACGAGAAAAACGATTTAATAATGAATTAACTATTTCGAATATACTGCATGTATAGGTAAAAAGTACAAATGAGAGTAAATAAGAATTTTCAGTTTATAGCTTTTAGTTTATCTTTTACAAAAAAAAATATAAAGAGATTATAAAATACTTAAATTACTTCATATTATTACGGATTATGGTATATCCGTTAAAATCGCTAAACTGTTAGTAGCTGGAAAACAGTCTTACCCCAAAAAATGAGATATGCAATAATAATCAAAGACAAGTAAATCTTCGATCGGTGATTATTATTTTATTAAGAAGGGAAGTAATAAAATTAAAAAAGAAAATACATTTATTAAAAAAAAGTTTGAAACTAGTTCGCAGTCGGTAGGATTCGAACCTACGCTCCCAGAGGGAATCTGATTTCTAGTCAGACGCCTTAACCGCTCGGCCACGACTGCTTGTTGAATGCGTTGGCCAATGTGGCAACTAGTGCCGATGGGAAAGCCAGACAAAGTTTTGGCACACAGTCTGGAAATTTAGCATTTTACAACACTACTTTCACCAATAAACGTTGACTTCCTTAAAATTAGGCGCCAAAAGATAACATTTTTATAACTTCTTATTTAAATGCTTAAACAATACGATCAATAAATGTTTAATAAATAATTTTAGATTATGTATTATACCATCAGAATGTATAACAAATAATATAATATGCAATGCGATAGGAGAAGAACTACATGTTGTTTAACTTTTATTAGACTTTTTAAAATTTACAAAATAGAGTAGGACAATTCTCACGGCAACAGCAATTGATGCCGCACTTCTTATTCATGCCCAGGCATGTTTTATTATTCCACGGGAAAGATAGAAGACCTGTAGAGATCGTTATATATAATGGATCGGATAATTTAATTTATAATATTCAAATACTTACGGGCAAAGCCATTTTTTAACCTGGCTCTATTCGCCCTGTCCAAGTCGCAATCGGACATATTAACGAAGGTGAAGGGCATTAGTTCGGTACAATGGGTGTCCAGAAGACAACGCGTTCTTGCGTTGCGATTGCAGGGACCACAACCCGGAGGATTTGGAGCCGTGTAGACGCAATGGGGTCCGCAGCAGGCATTATCGCGTGGCGGCAGTTTGGGCTCCTTGATGCCATTATCGAAGCAGTCATTCCATCCCATAAACGCCTGGCAGGACCTTTTTTGGCAGCACCATGTTGAGAGCATCAAACAAGCCAGGAGTTGAAATATCAGCAGAACTCTAGTGGCAGCCATGTTGGGTTGCAGGGCACTCGAATAATGCCACCAAAACAGCCTGCTTTTATACCCAGAAGTTCTCTTATATTTACACAATTGCTGAACATGTAATTTTAAAAACAACTCAGTTTTCACTTTGGGAAGACTATAAAAGGGTCGGAAATCGTACCGCTTCATCTGAGAAGTATTCGCAATGGCTGCCAATAATCTGCTGAGCCTGCTGCTCCTTTTTGTGGCTTTCGAGTTGGCTTTTGGTTGTTCCAAAGATCTCTGCCCGGTGGTCAAGAACTGGAACTCTCTGTGCGAGGGAAACACAGAGTATCAATGCGTCTGCGATTTCACCTGCTCCGAGTGGGACAAGCCCTGCAATTGGGTCCTAAGTTGTGAAGCCGAGGTCGACAACATCAATGAGTTTCGCAGCAGAAAGCGAAAGCTACGTAAGCTTCCCTATTTTATCCAAATATTTTATTCCATTAACAATCATATTTTCTTACAGCTCTTTTCAGACTGCCGAATCGTAGTCAACAGGAGTGTCTGGACATTAATATTAATACGCACAAGCATCCAAATTGTTGTAACTTGTTCTGCCAAGCTAAGATTCGAGATGTGTGTTTTTAAATAGATATAAGATGGTTAAACAAAGACCTCCATATATATATTATCCATGTTCTTTAATGGGCACGAAATTAAAAAAATTAATTAAGTGACCTATATATTTATTTCATTGGGTTTCGTTGTATTTGTTGACTTTATTTCGTTTTATTTTATGTACCTGGTAATGTTTACTAAAGTCCAAAATTATCCAATACTTTTGCACAGGTGTCATTGATAAATGCCGGCTGTCAATATTTACCTGTTGGTTAACCTTCAAAATTGTGCTAAACTTTGAGCAGTTTTTTATAACTTTTCCATTTTAATGTTTCGCAAATTAAATAAATACAAAACTCTTACCTGTTTTAACAAATCTTCCCAAATCAAACTTTAAATTTGTATTCCAAATATTATAATATTTTTATTTAATTACTTTACACATATTCCATGTACACACATATTAATTATATTGAATAGTTTTTACAGCTAATTTGTTTATTGTTAGCTACTTATCGTTTAACACCTTACGTCCCTAAGTGCTCGACTTAACATATATTTACAGTTTCTGTTTTAGTTACCATTAAATGCATTCTTAGTCGGTATTATTTAGCTAAGCCAAAATATGTACCAAAGTACACGACTAGTTTAAGTCGTACATCAGCTTCTCAGCATTATTAGGTTCTTCGCAGTCGAATGAAGCCATCATTAATTCTGCAAAAACACAAACAACTTAAATTAGTTATCAAAATATTTCGTAGAAATGCGAAAAACAATTGATGTCTGTCCACAGAGCTGGACGACTAAAAATCAGAAAAATAACAAAACTGTTATTTAAGTTGCTTTGCCCACTTGATTGAAAACGACACTCAAGCGTAGACAGGACTCAAGGACATGCCCAAAATACAATCACACAAACACAATCCAAATTGTCCGAAAAAATCGCAGTGATGCGTGATAAAATGTTTGATTTCTGCTCTCCACAAGGATACTATGATTTTCTATAAAATCCTAGTTTGCCGACTTAAAACTAGATATGCTTAAGGCTGTCCTCATTTTTTTGGAATACGTCATATATTTTTTTTAATAGGTTAAAATTAAATAGGCATACATTTTGTATTTAATTGGTGTAAATGCTTTTTATGCTATACTAGTGTTAAGCACCCAACTGAATTGAAGTGATTTAAAAAATATTCTTTAAGAGCATTTCGAGTTTCGACTATAAGGTTTCTCAATTCTTATTTTTAGTTGTCCAGTGTTTTCGACCGGCACGTGTTCAATGCCAGGCCTTGAGGGCTCGTCGTTTCTTTTTCCGTTTATTTATTTTTAGCACGCACACGAAGTGGTAAACCAAACTTTGAGCATTCAGTTAAAATTTATGAAGCCCGAAAGAAACAATATTCAAATTCTATGCTCGCAAATGTGCAAAACAATTTATTTTGATCAGTCAAGAATTTGTTTAATTACCACTTTAAGTTAAGTCAGTTTTTAGAAAAAGCAATTCGCATATTTAGTTTGTGCATGCAAAGAAGTTAACAATTATGGTTTTTAAAGGGTAAACAAAATAGTTTAAATTTATAGAAGAATCATCTAATAATACAATAATTTAACTTCTCTCATATTTATGGATTTAAGAGGATATTAAATAAGTTTATTCATTAAGAAAACATTAGATATTAAAATTCATACCTCTGAATTTCAAATGAATTTTTGGGGTATCATAAGAGGACTGAGTTTAAAAACAGTTTAACTAGAACAACTTGAACCGGAACTCATTCCGGGATGGGTTAACTTCTGGTCAAGTGCTGACAAGTGTGGTATATTTTTTTTTTGGGTCAGTCCACTTGCATTTTAATAGAAGGAAATTTAATAATGTTGTAAGAAAAAAGGCGAATTTTTCAACACATATGTCTGAGGAAAGTGGAGTGGAGTAGGAGGCCAGGAGGTGGTGTCCAATTCACACCATGAGCGCCATTAAAATTTTACAATGTTTGGTAGCAGCCTCGTTTGGTCAGCGCTTTTGGCCAACAGATGTGCGCTTGACTTGCCGCAAAATGTGGCATGCCCTGGCCGCCTCTATCTTGGTCCTACCAAAATCCCCCTCCCTCCGAGCTCCTTCCTCAGTTTGTGTGTGTTTATAGGATTTGTGTTCACATACTCCGTATGCTTGAGCACAAAAAATTACAAAATATTCGCACGGAACGGGGGGAATGAGAACTTTCCAAGTTGGGCCACCGACCATCGCATGAAGAAGTTGCCGTTGGTTATGGAACATGGCGAAAACCATATTCCCCCTCTTTCCATTTTCCATTTTTTTTGTTTGTGCCAGAACTGAGGTCCGAGGACTGAGTCCTTTCTTTCCACGCTCTTGTTTAGTTTTAATGGAGTCGTGTGTGGCGTGTAAATATTACCCTCCTTGCAGGGCCAACTGAAGATTTGTGAGGCGGCTCGGTTCGGTTTGGTTGGATTCTGTTGTGGTTCGGCTGCATTCGGTACTTCTTACTTTGGAGGGCCAACAAATGGTCTATTTTTCCACCCACACAATGTCTAACGAGCGGTTGGCTGGTATTAGTTAGTTAGAAATTCCAAAAAAAAAAAATACGAGAGAGTGGATTATCTTTGAGTGCAATCTCAAGCTGATTGCAATGTGAATTCTGTTTCAGAATTTCAAGTCTATATTTGCAAACCAAAAAGTTACCAGTTTTTTTTCTTGTAATCTGAAAAGCACTCAGGCTAAGCCCAAATCTATAAAAGGGAAAACGAAACAAACAGGCAAGTGTTTTTAAAAGATTATGTTTTCAAACGCACAAAAAATATTTTCAAAAGCTTTTAGCCCTAATGTTGATAACAAATAAAAGGGTTGGTTAAATTAAATTTTGATATTTAAAAAGCTGCGTTTTAATTAATACTACTTATTTTTAAAGTTTAGAATAATATTTTTTGTTCTTTTATACCACTTAAAATATATATTTAGCATATATTAGATAATAAATATAATACAAGTATTTCTTCTATTAATTTTATAGAAAAAGAAAATATGTATACATAAATAAAACCAAAATCCCATCTCTTCTTAATTTGAGTTTACATTCATCTACTTTTACTTTCAAATGGTCCTTGTCACGCATCTGGCCAAAAATAATATATCCTTCTGGAAGACACTAAAAAATGGGCATCTCCTCGTTGCCGGAGAAATATTTCCAGACTCAGTGAGGCATCAATTACTTTGGTCCGGCTTTGGAACCAAACAATAGCCGACAGCCGTAACTACTGTAAAATTGTTTTGACTCCGGCCGAGATGAGGGCCAGAAGAATGACAGGCCGGACAGGTGATAGATAACGAGGACAGTCTACGGTCATTTTTCCACACCCAAGACAGGGTCCTGGAAAATGCTGCCATTCGAGTGATGCAAGAAGGAAAATGAAATCTGCCCACAACTGAATGCCAATAACGTGCTGCTGTCAGTGGGCTTAGGATGTAGGATGTAGGATCTAGGATGTGACTTTCCGGTGGGCCAAAAGGGGGACAGTTACTAACTGCAGTTTCCTATCTATATGTATTTATCTGGAATGTCTGAACTGTCGGCCGGCCTGTCAAGTTCCTGCTGACAGTGACTAAAACAATATAAATCTGCGCATTTTTACTGCTCAACGGCAAGTAAAAATAATATTGTATTGTATTTATTTCACAAAAGCACTAGTAGTTTACAGTTTTTATCCATTTTTCAATGATTCAATTCTATACAAAACTGTCCTTAAATATAGTTGGTATTCAATACTATAGAAAGTTTGACACAATTGAAATCATTCTGCACTACATAATTTGAGTTATTGATTGTATAAATGAAACTAGTAACAAGTGTGATATAAATTGTTTAATTATGAACATATTTAAAGAATGATCTCATTTACAAACTTTTAAATTTAATAAGTATTACATTTTTTTCCCAGCCAACAATAACCAAAGACAAAACAGCTATGAAAAATACTAATTAACTAACTGAAATGTAAATGATATTTTCTTTTCTGAGTTGACACATAATTATTTATTAAGTATTTATCAAATGGTAGGTAATGACTAATTAAATTAAAATGTTGACTAATATAGAACTAGTTAACTAATGCTTCGTTAGGTTTATAGCATTTAATTCCCAACTTACTCCTTGTAGAAATCCCATTTGGCCTTTAAACAGATAACTGGAGCCATTTGAACATGGCATGCAATTTATAATTCAATTTATAGTTTAATTTATCGGCCAAACAATGTACAGAATAGACCAGAGCTCGCCAGAGATTCTCCCAACAATGCCGATGATGATGATGAGAATTAGTGAACGACTTTGCACTGCCATTGAACCAGGGATAATTGTGCTTTGGCCAGCGATTCAGCTTAATGAATAGTTCATGCCTTTGGCTTGGACTCCAATCATTGGCTCGGTCCTAATTACCATATCCAGAGCCTAATGAGCACAATTGAAATAACACATGCCCAAGAAATGCCATGGCAAATAGATATATATTAGTGAAATTTAAATTCCCTGGCAGACGATGTTTGTGGTGTTTGCTTAGAATTCGGGACGCTTGTGGGAAATTCCTTGGACTTGTTGGCCTGATTGTGTGGTATTTGGCCTCCTTTCGAATTAAGTTGGCTTTATTAATGGCAATTAACAATACATTTAGCACGAATGAAAATTCTGAGGTCTTGACTTTTGACACTCAATGTGTTGGATTATTATTCTAGGAGAAACTGAGAAACGCAAACATTTTCGCTTTCGAATTTCCCGAGGCTAGGATATAACATCCTTTGCCATTTTCTTTGCACATCTGAATGCAATTTCTGCACATTTTGTTTAGGCATTTGTGAGATGCTTTCCCCGGTCTTATTTTTCCATTTTCCATTTCCATGCAGACGTGTCGTCCCGCATCGAATAGGCATATCTGGCCTCACATATTGCTAGAAAAAATCAGGATGAGAGGGGAAGATAGTCAAAGGACCTGCCAGACATTCAAGAGAGTGGAGTTTTCTTTCGGTGCAACGTTTGTCCTTTTGACTCCATCCTCCTTTTACCAGTCATATCACATAGTGGAGTGGCTGCCTGACATAACAATGCTCATGTCTTCATAGACCAGTGAGTGTGTGTAGTTAGATTTACAAAGCAAAATAAATAAAATGAAATGAAAATAAAAATAAGTCCAGAGAAATGCGGAGCGATGGGGGAAAACAATTTAGTGCTTTTGTGATCCTTTGATGCGATTTTAAAAGCATTCGTTTTTCAGTTTATGTTAAATTGTTTGCTGGAATTTCTGCGATTTTCTTTTAAATTGTAATTAAATTTGGTTTGAAAGTCTTATATTTAAAATTAGTTCTTATTTAAACAGAAATTATACATATACATATACAAGCTTTTTAATTCATGTTTTATTGTTATGCAGCCTGTTAAATATTTACCTTAAAATATTTGGATTATATTTAAGCTTGAGAATGTTAATACTTATGTAAGATATTAAGCTGTTACCGCACACAAATATTTTGTTCGCCATTACCCCTATTCTGAAACTCATAAATCCGTGTTGTTCCGTTGGAAATTTACCAGATGCATTCCACCGACATTTCAGTCGACTTAAATCCGACATACATTTCCCCCGAGGTCGTAACAGAATAAACCAGCCAACAGACAATTACCTCCACATTAAGGGGTTGTTATTAAAAAATTCCTGGCATGGCGAGCATAAAGGAAGAGCAAAGTGTATATAATTCGCTGGGCTGCACTTGCTGTTCGCCTTTTAATGTCAGGTAAAAACTTTCAAGAATGCGCCTCTACAGATTAAGGGCATAACAAGAAAGAAAAGCTAACTTCGGGCGGAGCCGAAGTTGATATACCCTTGCAGAATATTCTGTAAATTATATTCTCCAAAATTATTCATATGATGCAATCTTAATACTCATAAAAAATCCCAACTTCCTAACTTTAAAAACACCAAAGTTATGGCATTTCCAATCGTTCAGTTATATGGCAGCTATAGGATATAGTCGGCCGATCCTTATGAAATTTGATAGGTTGGATTGATTGGTTAAAAATAGAACCCATAGAAAATCCCAACTTCCTAACTTAACAAAAACCAAAGTTGTGGCATTTCCGATCAATCAGTTATATGGTGGCTATAGGATATAGTCGGCCGATCCTTATGAAATTTGGTAGTTCGGATTGATAGGCCAAATATAACACCCATAGAAAATCCCAACTTCCTAACTTCACAAACACCAAAGTTATGGCATTTCCGATCAATCAGTTATATGGCAGCTATAGGATATAGTCGGCCGATCTTTATGAAATTTGGTAGGTCGGATTGATTGGCCAAATATAAAACCCATATAAAATTCCAACTTCCTAACTTAACAAACAGCAGAGTTATGGCATTTCCGATCAATCAGTTATATGGCAGCTATAGGATATAGTCGGCCGATCCCGGCCGTTCCGACTTATATACTGCGTGCAAAGGAAAGAAGGGTGTGTGCAAAGTTTCAATTCGATATCTTTAAAACTGAGAGACTAGTTCGCGTAGAAACAGACAGACGGACAGACAGACGGACAGACAGACGGACAGACAGACGGACAGACGGACAGACGGACATGGCTATATCAACTCAGGAGGTGATCCTGATCAAGAATATATATACTTTATAGGGTCGGAGATGTCTCCTTCACTGCGTTGCACACTTTTGACCAAAATTATAATACCCTCTGCAAGGGCATAAAAACGGAGAACAAGTACTTGTTTAGTCGCAGGGAGGAAATGAAAACACGAATGGCTTAAATCAACTCAAAATACTATACAAGTGGTCCAGCGGGGGCAAAGGATAATAAAGAGAGGATAAAAAGAGGAAACAACGAACGATTATAAAGCCAACGAGATAGAAATGGGTTGGGAGTTGATTAAAGTCATGTAATTTGGCAGATAGTTTATTAAAGTTTTCTGCCCCCCCCTGCGGTTGGACATCACAAGATGGTTTTCTATGTGCACATACATATATATTTTATTTTATCTCCTTATTTTCCAAGAGTCCTTGACAGCAGGGCTGCCAGCAGGTGGCGCTTTTCTGGCTACACTTCCGCTCCTTTACGTTTCGCCTGCTGTTTATAAACAGGATTATGTCACGGTGGATCTCTGTGTGTGAAAACCTGACAAGTAACCATACTGGTCAAACAGTCGGGGGCTATAACCCATGGCCAGCGCACTTTTCATTAACGGAAACTTTAAAATAGCAGAAAGGAACCATTTTATTTGGGTCCGTATAACTTCCCAGCAACTGAAAATGCCTTCAGCTTGTCGCCAAGTGATATAAAGAAGACCAACATTTATTTATGCACTTTTCGAAAGTGCATCAAACTTGGAAATAACTTTTAGACTCCAATAGTTTTTTTCCAACTATGACTTCGTTTGCATTTACGTTGCTGACGTCGGCTTAAAGTTTAGCCCAACTTTTCGGCTTGGTGGACAGTTTTTTCGTTTGAGTTTTTAGAAAGGAAACTGATTTAGAAGATGTTCGCATGACTTGGCTAAACAAGCAACTGCAAAAGAATGGCACCAAGCCGAGCAAAAAAGTGGTGGAAAGCCATTTGGACAGCCTGGAAAACAAGTTTGACATCGATGTAGCATCGAAAACAAATATGGCCACAATAACAAGTCCAACTTTCAACCGGAACTTGGCTAAGTCCTAATCCTGTAAACAAAACAATTGTAAAGGGATTTTAATCTCTTTTTTTCAATGCTTTGACAAATTAAATCTTGAAAGAAATAGATTTTATCAGTCAATTTTGAACCACTTTGAACCCTTTTGTTAATTGATTTAAAATTCAAATCATGTTTTTTTTAAGGGCCCTTCGGCATGATTGGGAAAAATGTAGAAAATAAATAAACATTTTAAGCTACCTCTTTATACACAAACAAAAATATCAGCCGCCACACTTTCCACCTCAAAAAGTTTACTGCATACGTGTAAATAGAGTTTTCTTGGTTAGCCAGTCAGCCTTGGCTTTGTGTTTTCCCAGCAAAACTCATTTACCTCCCCGTTATGCATGACATAAACCGTTCTCCGATAAAGTTTTCCAGCTCGAGGCTCAGGCTGTTGATTTTCCAAACACAAAAAATGCTCTCCTCCATAAGTTTTCATTCTCCGGCATTCCTTTTTTTTACTTTTAACTTCCGCTTCTGTCAAGATGCGTTTTGCCGCAACACCCAAAGACAACTTCGTCTTTGTTGGTATTTTTGTGCTGTTTTCGCCAGCGGCAAAAGCCTTCAAAAGTTGCCTTCCCTTGCCGGGTTTATAATGAGTTCGTGGATCCTATATGTGTGCTCTGAGTTTGTGTTAGCGACTGTGTTGATAGCTATGCGTTCCGTTGCTAAGAAACATCCTACAGATGAGGTCTAAGAAAAATATTTACTTACTTGCTGAAGATTCTACCAAAAATCTATTGTTCAACTTCTTTTATTTTAATACTAATATTACATTTTGAGCTTTTTTGTTAGTCTTTATTAAAAACTTCGAGCTTCAATTCTTGTGAATTGAGAGAATTTCTATGTTTATTTTTACTACGTCTTTAAAAATAAAATGAAAATGAATTTCCATGTAAATTATGCTGTTTTAATTGATAGTATTTCTTATTTAATTGAAATATATTTTAAAACAGCTAGAAACAAGGAGAAATAAAAAATTTTGTTTTGCCAATAGCTTGAAAAAAGATCAAAGATCATCACTGTTTGTCGCCTCTCATTTCTGCACTTTCTTGCTGCTGTTTGATGTCTTTGCCCGCTTTCATGCAACATGCCCCTCCCCGCCATCCCGTATAGTTTTTCAGTTTTTTTTGTCATGTGCACATTCCGTGAAAAATATATCAACTTGCCGGGCATTGCTGACAGCTCCAAGAAGGATTTACACAAAAAAAAAAGGGAGACCGCTCGAGAAAACTTTTTACGCTCGTCGAAAACACGTGGTGCACCTTGTTGCAAGGTTGTTTTGTTGCCTCTTGGTGAGAGCTGTTTTATATCTTTGTTGTGCTGTCGGAGCTTGAGGATATAGGAAGTTTCCCAGTATACATTTACTGAGCTGGCAAGGACTCTCTTATCTGGAAGGTTCAGGATGTGCGGATTAATTGAAGTTTTTCTTCGCGTCTTTCCAGACTTTTTTTTATTAGAAATTCTAAAAATATATTTTTTAAGTTGTATTACATTTTTGTAACACTTTGTAATAGTTGGTCTTATATTTTCCAGGTACAATAAACTTTTTGTTATTTTTCGACCCATTTTACTTTTTGATTTAAAAGCATTCAATCAAATATGCAAATTTTGGCAACCGTTAAAAGTTGGCCACCTAAAAACGCTGGTATAATTTTTGCATTTTGTTTTTCAACCGAGTTTAATTCACAATGTTTATAAGAGGGAAACGCCATTTAATTTAGCATAAATAACAAACAATATTTTCCACTAAATCTCGCTCTAAGCCTTCTCCCCTAGTTTGTCATCATCTCTAATAAAAACAAAGGCTGAGAAGCAACAGCCCGGAAATGAATTGTTATAAAAACAAGGGTTCACTGGGGTTACTATAGTAACTGCTGCCAGAGTGGGAAGGCAAAAGAAGGGATAGGACTAGTCGTTCGCTAAGTTTTATCCAAGTTCATAAACATTTTGTGGTCGTAAAGTGTCTGTCTGTGGTTTTATTGCGGTTATTAATTTGAATTAATTAGCGGCAAATCTGTTAAAACACGGCGCTGATGGTTAAGAGGCGGAATATGAAGTGTGATATATTAATTGAAGGCTCAGCAAGAATATTAAGCCCTTTTAAAGCATCAAGGGAGGATAATCCTTTGCTGTATTTATATGAATACAATACAATCGCAAGCACGCGAAATAACCAAATGTGGCCTACCACGAAAATTGCGGCTCCAGTTTTATATGTTCATAATCTAGTTTCCATATTTCCCTTGTTTTTATTTTAATAAGCATTGAGGGAAATGACTCTCAAATTGCCAGCACCGAATGCATTTAATTTTCCCCACAGGCTTTTCAAACAATTTAGTCTGTTGGTAAATAATCAGTGGGCATGTAGATTTAGATTAGGGCTGTCTACTTATACAATGCGAATTTTATTTATTTCAGGCACAAATGCCCTTGGTCAAAACCTTTATTCAAAATGACAACACGTGTCGTATGAGTAATTTTTACGGAAACTTTGAGACCATTGACAAAAATTGGCCTTTTAAAAACTTTTAAATACCATACAAATTTACTTCACATCATTGGTTGAATTAGGTAGAACAGAAAAACATTCTTCAATCCCTTAAAGTATTTCTTAGTATTTGTTTAAAGCTACCTCTTTTCTAACCAAATTCTAACAGTCACGGTATGCCAGTGAAAAATGTGAAAAAATGCGATAAATTTCGTAGAGAGTGCGAGCGAAAATAAAAAACAAGTATCCTTCGAGGGGGTGGAGGAAAGTTTTGAGCCTCAGCGAATATTACTTACCCGCCTCGCCAAGTTTTGAAGTTTGCTGCATGTGCCGGCAGAAGTGCTCGTACTCCCCGCTAGATGGCGCCTGTGCCGCCTTCATCGCCTGCATGTGTTTGGTGAATGCCCCAACAATGGCCGCCATTCGATCGAAGGCAGCCATATTGATGTGGCCATTTGCTAAGCTGCAAGAAGCGGGGGAAACCGGAGGAAAAGCGGAGAACATAAGTGCGAGTGAATAGTGAGGAAAGTATGTTTTGCTGGCTGATAAAAAGTCATGGTTTGCGTTTGCCATGCAAAATGGAAAAGGCTATGCAGAAAAGCAAAGCCAAATAAGCTAACTGAATGGGAGTGGCACAGTGAAAATATATTTGCAAACTTATCTTGAAAACATAATTCAATAATTCATAATTTAAACTTCCTTAAAGCTCTGAATATTATTGTAAGAAATCATAAATCTTTGATCTTAAAATTGTGTAAGTCATTATAATTCTTAACCTTTAATTTTAAAAGGTTGTTATCTTTCTTTTTTGACATACTTTGAATAGCTTTACAAAAGTTAACGGTTAAGATAAAATATTAAATTTATTTGTATTCATAATAACAATTCAATAGAGAGGGATTTTCTTTTTATATCCGCACTTCATCTAATCTAATAAATTTTGCGGTGTAGGAAGAGGCAGCTATGCAATTAATGCCGAAATGGTTCGTTTAATTAGTGCATTGAAAAGTCGATTTACGCTTACACGCTTCATTTCATTGCGAAACTGGATGCGACATTGAAATTTGTTGAATGAATGCGGATTTATTTTCCATTTTTCTATAGCAACTACTGCTCTCTGATTATATTTCAGAGAATAAATTGCCCGACGGCATGTATACGCATTTGTGAGTCTAATGAGGTCAATTGTGGCCACCAGTGGTCGGTGGTGCATACTTTATTGTTTGTTTCAGCCCGGTATCGTTTGGTCTGGAGGGAGCAATGCATATGGTGGGGATTTGGGCCAACCAAGGGGAAGATAGGTTTAGATTTGGTCTACGTTTGGTTTGGGATTCTAAATGATGCATTTATTGGAAAATAAGCAGCAGCGGGAAATTATCTGAATGAATAATTAAAAAAAAAACTGCCATTAGGCATTATTTGAAAAATGTGTAAATAAAATATTGACACTGTTAAGCTATAACAGAATATGTGAATTTTTAAAGCAACGATTCATAATTTATTATTCCTATTACGCCTTACTATTAAATATATGGCAAAAAAAGGTTGACATATTTTGTAGCACTTAATTTTCTTTTATTACCCATTAAAATTTAATTAAGAGATAAAAACAGCTATTCCTCAGAGAATTTATTATTAAGAACATTAAACAAAACAAATAGTTTTAACATAAAATCTCATTTAATTATTTTTGTGATTGTTTCAGCACTTGTTGAAGTCAATTTAAAATAAATGCTTTAGGAAAAAAAAATATATATTAATGTTCGTCAATTTTTCTCTTCAAAGCGAGCAAAAAAAAAACAAATAAATGCGAGCGAAAAAAAGCTTTTTGTGCTCTTTTTTTTATGAATTTTCATGAAAATGATTATCTGCCTTGTCGTTGGGAACAAAATCATTTGTTTTGCCACTCTGTGGTTAATTAAATTTAAAGTGTAAATATAAATGAGAGGTTAAATACATTCCGGAAGTAAGTGAAACGAGAGTGAAGTGGAAAAGCGATTGTTGGCGAATGCGAATGGGCAATATATTAATCATACGACCCCTTGCCCATGCAAATATATATTTTCCCTGGATTTGGCCGCATCAATCAGGGCAGGCAAATTGAACTTACCGCTGCAAACAGTTCTCACGCTCGCCCAATGCCAGTTTAACAATATCCGCAAACACTGGAATAACAACCCAATCATTTGGCTTGCCCGTTGTTGCTAATGGTGTGGTTGTTGCCGCCATTGGTGCTGATGCTGCTGCCGTACATGTTGCTGCTGCTGCTGCAGTCTCCACATTGCTGTTGCCAGCCGCAGGCACCAGAGCTGCTTCTATTGTTGCAGCTGTTGGTACACAGAGAGAAAAAGTGATCAACATTTGTACATTAAAATTTCATTTTAAGAACCTGAACAATAATGGAATGTAATTTGAAGTTACAAAATGTTGTATTCTTAAATTGTAGTTTATTAAAAAAATAATGTAATTCAAACAGAAACTTAGAAAAACAGATTTTTTTTTCCTCTGTGCCGAATTGCATTCTTACCGGAAGTGCCTGTAATGCCAGCCACTCGCCCACTTGTCGAGGGCTTCTCGTCCAAGTCGGGGATGGGAATGGCCATTGAGGGTGTGGCAGCTCCGCCCCCAGGACCTGCTCCTTGCCCCGACTGCTCCCTGGCCTGCTTATCAGTCTTGAGACCCTCCTGCTGCTCATTTAAGACGATGGCCTGCTTCTGCCATAAATGTCCATGGCCCTCGGCATGGCGTTGCATGCAGTCCAATTGTTGACACGTCACTTGCAATTTACTCCACTGTAATCAAATCGAAATCCATAAATGAGCATCATTTGTAGTGGCAATCTTGATACGCTACCCATTCCCGCTGGCTTTGCGGTCTGTTTTCGATTTTTTGTTTCTCTTTTTCGGGCTGTAAAAGTTTATGGTTTTGTTTGTTCTGTCGGTCTGTGTGAGTTTTATGTTTGTAATTTGGCCGGGAAAGCTTTAGATCGAATTTTATGGCCGACATTTGGCCTTCGCCTGATAACATATTAATTAGGATTCCGCGAGCATCAAGGAAATGCTTTTGGGGATTTTACAAGCATTAAACTGAAAAAGGGACAACATCTTAAGAGGGATTTTAGCAATTTATGGCGGTTTTCAATGAAAAATATTATTATTTGTGTTAAAGGCAATCTATAAGTTTGTGTCTCGTTAAGAGACACATTTATAATAGCATTTGGTACACCTCTTGTTGGTGGATTATTTAAAGTTTTTGAATTTTCTTGTGGCCAGCATCGGGCACATTTATTGCCATCATCCAATGCACACTCATAAACATTTCAGGAGCAGCTATAGAAATATATTTGTAAATATCTCTCGAAAAACACAATGCACGCGACACGCCCACTTTTTGCTGCTCGAGTTTTGCATAGTTCTGTAAATTTATGCAATTCCCCTTTCATTTTTTATTTGGCAAGAGGATTTATATTTTTTATTTTTCGTTGCACACTTTTCAGCGCCCATTGTCCGAAAAATTTATAGCGAGAAAAGTGCAGCAGAAATAGGAATTAAAATATGGCATAGAAAAGGTGGGCAACTGATTTAAAGTATCAACATAATAGTTAAGATTATTACTTTAAAAATATTAGGTGTACGCTTAAGTATTTTTTAATAACATAAATAATATAAATAAGATAATAAAGAAATCGTCTTATTTTTGGCTTACATAGTGTTAAATAATATATGTGTACGTTTTTTTAAAAGTTTAAAATACATATACATACATGGCTATACTAAAAATCCTAATGGAAGTAAAGAGGGATAAAAACTTTCATAATGAATAATATATAAGCCGAAGGCATTTAAAGCACCAAAAAACATTAAGTAACTTTTAACTTGATTTTTTTATTATGAGAGGGCAAAAAGAAAGCCAAGCCTAGTGTTAAATTGCGACGGCAACAAAGGGAAGGAGAAATGCGGAATCCATTAACTAATTAAAAAGTTTTTTAATGAAAACTAGCTTCATTTGCTGCTGAATGCACGGCAACCTGCTGCGGTCTATTAAAGGAGTGGGTGGAAGGACGCAGGATGAAAGGCGAAGGTGCGGGCGATGCGCCAAATAAGTGAGTAAATATATAAACTTGATGAAATTGGGCCAACTGCAGCGAAAATGTGGTTGCTTGGGCGTGGTCATCTCTTTTTCGGTTCTCCCCCTCAATTCAATTTTTTTGGCAGCAAGGAAAAAAACCTTTTTGTGGGTGGAAAAACTTTTGTTGTTATAACAACGTGGCCCAATATTATTATTTAAAATGTTCGTTTTGTTAAAAAGTGAAATTCCAAATGCAAGTTCGATAACATACAAATGAAATATACAGAAAATAATTTGAATTCATTTTTGTATTTTAATATCAGAGAATTTAAATTCAATCTAGTTTACAGGCCAAGCAAATAGCATTGGCCAGAGCATCTCCATTACTTCTTTCAATATTTAACTTAAAACCGACGGACCAAGCCCGAACATGGTTTTAAATCTTTTAAGCTTCTTTTCGCCAAAATGCATTAGGCTGCATAAATATCTGCTGACACGAGCAAATATCCTAGGCATTGGGTTCAAGCCTCGAGGCGAAAAGATTTTCTTCGAGTTTACACACACAAAATGTAAGAAAAAGGATATGATAGAGTGGAGATAGATATCCATAGTTTCGTGAAGCAAAAAGTTCTTTTGGCTGGTTGCAATGCGAATCTTTAAGTACATGGGTCGTGGTGGTACATGGACTATACATTTCTACATATAAATCAGCAAATTTTCTTCAAAATTATACTTAATATTCTTTATTCAACAACACAAATCGAGGAAAACTGAGCTGTAACAATAATCCTTTCATGAATATTTTTGTAATATATAATAGAACAAACTGACTCAACTTATATAAAAAAACCCTATGTTCTTTACTCTTAAAGTTTTCTGCAGGTATTAAGTATGTATTTTGTTATTCGATCAATAAATTTCTCTCAGTCCATGAATGAAAATGGCCCCAAGGCACTGCTTTCTAACTTTTAACAGAATGCAATTACAGTGCACATATAAGCATTAAGTCGCACACTCATATGGGAAAAGGAAGAATTTTATTATCCTTGCTCGTTTCCTTGTATTCTTTGAGCAAATGATTATACTGGTACTTGTGCTTAAATTAAACTTTAGCTTAGCTTAAGTTTCAGATCTCCGAGTTTATGGAAATTTCCTAGTTGAAATGTTTTCTCTATGCCAAGTGGAAATGTCATAGAATTGATGTCTGGGCCAAATGATATTCCATTTGGTTTAGTGACTCTGCCTCGCATTATATTATGCAGATACCGTCGTTGTGTTGTTTAACTCCAATTAAAGTTTCACTGCGCAATTTGCCATGGGAATTATGAACCAAAAACCCATTTCACTGCCATGCCACGTAATTTGCCTATAAAACTGTTGTCTATTTAATTTCAAGCATTTATATGCGAAATTTATGAAAGAGCACGTTTTTGGGTCTGTTTTAATTTGAGGAATATTAAGTTCTGCTTTTGCCTTAAGTGAGTTAAAGAAAGGCCGTGATTCTAAACACTTTAAAAGGTTGGTATACTTCCGATTTGATAAGAGTTTATTTTGGCTATTTTATTTTTAAGTATTTATCTGAAGTATTTTTATGAAGTTTTAAATAGCAATGCTGGTTATTAAACTGCCCTATGTCTATGTATCAATTTAATAATAATTAGTTTGAACTTAAATTGATCCTTTTGAAGCAAAAGCCCCAGCGGCAAGTTAATTATAACCAACAAATTATATCCCGCAGTAATAAATTCGTCATTAAATTAGTTTTTGTTTGCGATAAATGAAACCAATATAAATTAGATTTTTTGTGTCTGATACATAAAACCATATATCAGCAGTGTTTCTTTTTCGGTCGTCATTAATTACAGCTTTGCACAAATTAAAACGGAATTATTTGGCATAGTTTTTGATAGTTAACTCACCGTAATTTTAAGCCTCGCAATGGCCGGGGATTCTAGGGACTCCAAAATGGCCGTGGCACTATTGTAGTTGCCCACCAGAAGGCAGTATTGTGCCACACCACTCCAGAGTTCCACGGTTCGGCTCCGACCCTCGATTCCACCGCTCTGAAAGCGGAGAAAACAATAATGTTACAGCGGGTACGGGAAAAATGAAAGATTTATTTGATTACGGAAGTTAGTTAGACGATAGAGGGCAAAGGGGGCGGAGGGCGGGGCATGGGACATGGAACATGGCTGGACCCACGTGACTTGGCCAAAGTTTTAACGAGTCGCTTACACGGCCAACTGGCAAACTGTCAATGAGACAGTTACGAACGGCATAAATTATAAGCCATCTTGCCAGCCTGTCCGCTTGCATGCACCCCTCATACAGCTAAGGGCACTTTAGTAGAATCGCTAATGCAATTTTGGACAGAACTCAAAAAATGTGGTTTGTAGAACCTACATCGTATATCACAATTTATAATATTTTTGGAATAAAAAAGTTCGAAATTTTAAATTATCAATTACAATTTTAAATAAGTTTAAAAACTTGATCTGAAATAGTATATACTAATTACTAGCAAATACTTAGTAAGTAATTTTTAGATTATAATAAAAAACCATAGCTAGACCTTTAAGACTTTATTGTGGTAAATAATCTCAAAATATACCTTTATTTTAGTTTCCTTCGTTTATATAATGGGGCTAATAAGGATGCTAGTTATTTAACCGCTACTGTATTGGCCAGGACTTCGCTGAACGTGCTCTCCCTGCATATTCAACATGCATGGGAATTTTAATTCAATCCACTGGGTCTAAGGACTCATGCGCTACGTTTAACTCCAGTCCATCTCGGTTGGAGTGAAGTGGAGTATTCGTATTCGTGCTGACCCCCAAATGGTTATGAGCTCGTCCACTCACCTGCAGTATCTCATTGCAGACAAACAGACGGAGACGTGCCGACCAATCCAGATAGGTTTCCAGGTTGCACGTCTTCTTCGGATCCTGGGCTCCTGGCGGTGCGCCCGACGTGGATGGTTGGTCCCATTTCTTCTGCATTAAAAAAAAGGAAGGCGGCACAGAATACAGAATACAGAAAACAGAATACAGGACTGCCGTTGAAATGAGGTGGGCAATGGAACGGCGGGGGCATTGTTAATGAAGCTGCTTGTCGTCATTTTAATTGCATGTCCTTGTAAACCCCGGCAAGTGTGTGCCAGCGTGCGATTGTTTGTGCGAGAGAGTGCTGTGTGTAATTTATGCAAAACTGCAGATTGTTCTTATGGCGAATGTTGACTTATGCAGAGGGAAACATTTGCCATCGAGCGAGCATTTAACTTGGGGAATATAATTTAATTTAGACGAATGAGATTTTCTTGGGGTGTTCATTCGAGCAGAAAGATGGGGTTGCATTTCAATTCTTTAAAAATTAATAAGTAAGTGGCATTTTTTATTTTTAGACCTCAATTAAGGGCAAAGGTTTTTTTGCCACCAATACCTTATACAAAAATTTCAATTTGTTAACATTTTAAGAGTTTCTAAAATGTGCTATTAATTGAGCTTAAAATAGTCTTGCTAAAATTGAAGAGTTGCTTGGCAAAGGTATGATTATAGCTTCAAAAAATTAATTTGTAAGTTTCTCTTATTTTTGGATGAACCGATCTCTATTTTTATTTTTGAGCAACAGCTTTTCCTGGTGTACAGTTTATTAAATAATTTTAATTTCAATGGAAACTAAATATGATTTTCTCTCGGTGCTTACCTGTTTATCGAGCAGTATCATGCTGCTGCACTGAAGGAATTCCTCGCCGCCAATGTGTTTGGCCAATTTCTTTTCCAGCCGACAAACGATTTGTGCGTACTGCGTGGCCGTTGGACAGTTGAGTGGAGTATCTACTGGAGACTGCAGAGAAAAGCCCCAAAAAAAGGCATAATGGGAAATACGAGGAAAACAAGACAATTGCCGGCGATTAGGAAGATTGTTTTTAGCCAAGTCAGTGGTGCTAATTTAGCTAGTTTGTGGATGCCATTATATATCACAAAATACAGGCTAAAACTATAAAACAAATAATTTTCAAATTGGTTAAAATTTTAAGTAATTTTTTTTTACGTACTATTTAAAAACTTCAAATTTGTATAATTTTTATAAAAGGCTTTTTTAACGAAAATTTGTATTTTTATGCATCAATAAAAGTTTAATTTGTAAACGTTGGACATTGGTTGTTACCCAGACGTAACTAAGTTGATTAAACTAGTTGGTGAGTTATAAATTTTAACAGAAATTTTCTTGCTCAAATGCCTCACAGCCAATTTTATCACCTTTCACTCCTAGATGACAGCACTGATCAGGGTACTGGAGCCATCGACTCACCTTTTCGTTGGTCTGGCAGGCTCGTAGGTCCGCCTCATGTCTCTCTAAATCAGTCAGTCGTTTTAGTAAGGCACTCAGTGTTTGGGAGACAGCGGCTTCCAAATGCGAATTGGAACATCTGTGGAGAGGGGTTGATTGGTTGCAATTAGGACTAGGCTGCAGAGAGCACTATCTCCTCACCTGGCAACGATATGTTTGACATGGCTCATCATGCGCTCATCCCGATAGTCGTAGGGGAACTTTGTCGTCCACTCGGCCAGCAGGGCGACCAAGGACTCCAAGCATTCGCTATCAGGTACCGAGTCCAGCAGTCTGCCCAGCAATTCATGGGGTCGCAGGAACAGGCGGCAGGATAGTAAAAACGAGAATACAAATTCCTGCAATTGAAACAGAAACAGACAGAAACAAAACCGGATTAGCGGCCAGCTCAAGTGCTATTAAAGTTCATAATAAAGTGCAATAATCCCTGGCAGATGTTATTCAAAACACTGAAAGCAAAATCATTATTACTTTTCTTAAGAATAACTTTTATTTTTAGACTATAATGAATTAAGGTATTACCCTAATTCTAGCCATCTAATATTGCCTATTTAAAGTTTAATACAAATGCTTCTTGTCAGATAAATGTATCTAGTAAAATCAAAACTATTTAACACTTAGTTTTTCTCAGTGAGGTTATGGGAGCCAAGCTGGAGTATGCCACCAATTAGTTGTTTCTGGTTGTGTTTGCTAGTCTTTCGTAACTTTTCCTTGGCCGAGGGCATCGCACATCAGCCCTATCAAATTAGCGCTAATCTCTGGATTTGTTTGCAACGAATTAATTATTTTTGCACTTGCTGCCTGTGGCCTCTGAATGGACGCTCTTACACACAAGAATGTCCTTGTTTCCTGGCTTTCGGTCCCTTGTTTTGGTTGCCCCTTGGGCCTGTGGTCCTTGATCCTGGCCAAGGGACTCGCCGGGCTGTCGGTTGACCCTTGGTTTGTGGTTTTTGGCTCGTGCCAGCAAACGCAACTTGGCCAGTGTTCAAGTCCTTGAGTGTCTGCGACTAAGTAAGAACTGATTTGTATTCCATTTGGCGTGCACAATACGATAAGGAGCGAGCAAGTATTTCTTTGGCAGGCAAATTTATTTAAGTTCAACAATCCGGTTTATAGAATTAAATCTATTGATTTTTGTTTGTTTATTTTTCCATTTATTTTCAATTTAGTTATATTTTCATTAGGCTAAAAGAGATATTGAAATTTTGTGCCTTATTGCTTTATTTATTTAGAATTTTAAATATGGCAAATGAAATTTAATGCGGCTGTCATTTATTTTTTGATAAACTGAAAAAGCAAAATACAATATATATTAAATGTGCAACTACAAAATTGCACGCAATATTTATTATGTATTAGTTATTTTTCCACATTTAAGTTATTTATTTGTTCTAATTGGAAACTCAAATTCATTTTACACATACATACAACAGTTTTAATAATTTGCACAAGTTTTAAATCAAAAATAAAATACCTGCTTTTGATTTTTTCATTCTTATTACTGTATTCTATAAAATAAACTTACCTTATCTAAGTCCAAGACATCCTTGGGCAAAAGTGCATCGATGAGGGAGTCCAATGGCCCAGAAACTATTTTACCGTTTATGTACATAATGCCACCAAACCCCACAACCGAGCTCTGTGGAAAATAAACAATACACATATGAAAACAGTCATCTAATGGTTTAATTAAAAAATGGTTGGTACACAAAAATGTAAACTAGAATCAAACCAATTTACTTAGCTAATTAAATGCTGGCTGATGACAGCCCACTGAAAATTATTATTGAATTGCCAAACAGTTGCCTTTAATTACCGCACAGCTTACCTCAAAATTAATATCACATTGGCTGCGCTTGTGCGGATTTTTGGGCACATCATACTGAACCAAATCGTCCTTGTTCGGCCCAACCGATTTTGTGTTGCCAAGCTGTGAAAACAGACAAACAAAGCCAAAATTAATGAAATATTGAGTGTTATTTGAAAGTGGTAGATTTACTGGTACTATTTCCATTTTGGCAGAGATTTAGAACTGTGTTGTGGGTGCTTTCTAGAGAATCCGAAAAACGAAAATATTCTATGTTGTTTTGTTTTTTTTGCCTAGATTCTCTAGAGTGGCCTATAAGTTAATCTGCTTAATTCGGATTTTAAAGTTGTATATCTCACTAATTTTTGTTTTACCATAATATAAATATATACCTATTATTTGTAAATGAAAAATCAAATGCATTTAACTGCTTCAAACTTGTTAACTTTTGGGATGAAAAGATTTATTTTTCAAGCGTAATCCAGTTTTGCCCGTCATGAATTATTAGCCACTTACCTCGATTTGTTGAAACCCCATTTCCAGATCGTAGGCACTCAGCTGCTCGGCGCTGTGTCGTCGCCGGTAGCGAATGTGCCCATTGCCGCTGAGAAGAGCCGTCTCCGCTGTCAGATGTCCCGAGTCCAGGGAGAATATGCCGCCAGGAGGTCCTTGTAAGCCGGCTCCTCCCGAATCCACACCCGGTTCGCCCAACTCCGGACAGCAGTCATCCGCAGACTCGCTGTCGGAGCTGCTGCCACTGCTAATGTGGCACCGCCGACGATGGTGGCGCCGGTGGTGCGGATGCTGATGGTGGTGCTGGCGACATTTGTCCCGATCGCGTTGACCCCGCGACTTTTGCAGCACGGTCTGCTTGCAACGCATCCCGCAGGCGATGGCTGATATCTTACTGGCATAAAAGTACATCGCCATGTGTCACGTTCGATTCGCCGCTCGTGACGTGGTCATGTGTGTGGGGCTGTTTGGGTTTTTTGGGGTGGTGCTTGGGTAGGTGATGGGTGGTGGGTGGTCTGTGGTCGGTGGACTTCCTGCTCGCTTCCCCGTCTATTTAATGCATGGGCACGCAGCAGACAGGTGGCAAGTTGGCCGTCCTCATGGCCGGGCACGTCCAATCAAATGTCAATTATGCGAAAGATTAGAAGATACCTGCACGCAGAAAAAAAAAACAGTAAGTTACTTATCAAAGTTTTAGTGATCAATGTCTAAAAGACATATTAGTTACATCATTTGTACCATACATGTACTTCAGAATAAAGATGTAAGCCAATTTGCGAATATAATTAATAATATGAAGTTCGCCTTATATTTTGTTATTCTTTCAACAGACTATTCAGTATTTTATATTTAAGTAGCATTTAAAATTTAAATTTATCAAAACCATTTATAAATATATATATTTTATATTTTTTAAATGTAGGTGATGGGTCTATTACGTTAGTAAATAAGTATTGTAATAATTTCTTATGTATTTAACATAATGTTTGAAGTTTTATCGAATTAGTTGTAGATTTAAATAATATACAAAATATAAAATAAAACAAATTAAAAAGTTAAAAGTTAATAAAAAGAAATAAAATATATATCTTAATGTTTTATACCTTTTTAAGAAACATTTTACAACTTTAAAAAAAACTGTTGATAATTTGTTACTTTTAAGTGCATGAGTATCACTGACGGAAGGACTTCCGAGCTACAACCAATTCCCTGAAGCTGGATCAGCGTCAATTTCATTTTGTTTTTGCCTCGGTTTTCCAATTTCTACACTCTGAATAGGAGGCTTTCGGCTTTGCCCACGCAGAGGGCAAATCAAAAATCAAATCTGTGAAAAAGTGCGACGTTTTATGGCTCACTGGCTCGCGCGGCGTCAACAAGTCAACGTTGCGGTCAATCGCAGCACATTACTCATACGCCGCGTGGTCGGGGCAGGACCCAGAGCTTAAATCACTGCGTGTCGGCCATTCCGCGAGTGTGTGGGTTAGGTTATGGTTAGGGTTATTATCCCTCTGGGGCCACTTGCAACTCATCAGGCCATAGACATGTGCGCCTCATCAATAAGGGCGTAACCGAAGGGGGCAGGGGATTGGCCATCACACGGGTCGATGGCAGTCATTAAATCACTGCAGATGCGTTAAGGGCCGACGCACAAAAAATCACAACTGATGTATGGATTGGTTCAAGGTTATCAATGAAAAAACATTTTCCGGGGTTCTTGGAAGGGTGAGAAATCGGGGAAGGTATTGGCTGTTTGTAGCCATTCAAGTGGAACTAAGGGTTTGCCGATTTGGGTTGACTTTGAGATGGTAATTAATCATTTATTACAAATTTAACAGTCCCTTCAAAGCTAACAAATTGTTAAACCTAATACGTAACCCAAACATTTTTTTGTAGAGATAATATAATCTTATTTTATTGTTAATAAAACATTAACTACTTCTTTAAAGCATAAACCTTTAAAGTTTTAAAAAGTTAAACGCTTTTTCTGAAACCAAGAAACTTACATTTCTGATGTGAAATAATTTAAATTACTATTCTTGCACGTACGTGTCACAACGAAAGAGAAAATAAATCCATCAATAAGTTTTAAAATCTTTTAAGAAGGAAACGCATTCAAAATGGGTATTAAAAGCAACAGGCGGTCCCGAGAAACTCGTTGCCTTATTTCGCAACACGTTCGCGATGTTTTCGGGGCATTGGAAGATGGAAAACACCGAGAACGTGGCAGTTGGCTTTAATGGAGATTAACCACGCACAAAAGATAACGATGCCACGGCCGAAAACGTATATGGATAAAATCTACATATCATATTAAATATGCAGACACATGAATCGGAAGACGATGTGGGTTCGGGGTAAAAGGAATTACAAATACAGGAAGTGCTCCTTGGCACCTGACCAACTGAATATGGAAATGAGCAAGGAAATCCAATTTCTATTAAGTCAACGCTCACTCAGTTATTGGGCCATCTTTTGTCAGCCTAAAATTCAACAGCTACCCAAAGATTTTCCGGGAAAAATCAATGTAATTGACGCCAATCCGAGACCCGGAATCGAATTCGCCTTTCATCCACTCCAGATTCATTTAATCTGACATCCTCACCCACAAATGTGGCGTCACTCGTAAATTGCCAATTAAGGCAGCACGCTCGTATCTTTTCTATATAAGGTTTTTATTTTTGTTCTGTGTGATTTGTTCATTACACAAACCATGCATAATAAATCATTTTTGCGTACAATCTGCATTTCAATTTTGACAACAGAAAGGCATTAGGGGCTTAGGCTATTCAAACAAAATGTATCTGTGGCCAGTCTATAAATAAATAGTCTGCAATACAATATTGAATCAGTCAATTTTGCAGCTTAGTAAATTGATTTTTTTTTTGGAAAATGGATCAAAGGATAATACCATAAAAGAATATTTCGTAGTTTTCTGAGCAAACAGATGCTGCAGTCGGCTGTTGAACAATCACAGATAAACTGTTCTTATTTGAATGTTTTTTAAAGTAAAGAGACAAATTCACAAAGCTGCATAATCCAGTCAACCGTTGTAAAATCACAATTGTAAAGGAAATGTGAAAAGACGAATGTGCCAAAGGAAAATGCTTACAACTATGGACAAAAAATATTCGAGCATACACAGACATTCGGCCTTATCTGCATACAGCTATTATCAAAATAATAGGGAAATTTGCATATTTCAAATATAGAATTACAAATATTTTGAAAGGAAATAAAATACTAACTATTTGAAAAATTAACTATTTAATATGATAAATAAATAAAGCAAATTAAATTTTACCGCTTCTTAACTGTCTCTAATGATTTTACACATTTTTAATATGGTTGTTTGTTAGACTTTTTAATTGATGGTAAGTAAATTATATAATTTTTTTTAAAGAAACGACTTTGTATAGTCTTTAATAAATATACAGTTTTTAAAGTTTTTTTCGCAAGCATATTTCATAGGCCAACCTCTATTTTTTGGAGCACATTTGTAAATATTTACATTTGGCGTTGCAAACATTTTGGGGCAACAGAATATTACCATGCTCAAGTGAGCGTAACAAAGGCGGAACACACACAAAACTTATGATATATGTATATTCGGCCCGAAACTTGTACACACTTAACTACAAGTTTTGCCGGTCCGAACCGCCCATCGCCAAGGATATAGACAAAGAGTGGAATGGAATAAATCTTTTAGCCATTTTTTTTCTTGGTCCGGACAGAAGCTTATTATAATTCCAATCATGCCGTCAGACTGCAGGCTCGCATCTAAGCAGAAGGTTGGCAAATGAAATATTTTCAATTTTAATATTGACAACGTTGGATTGCTTCTTCTTATTTGGGCCAAGTAACCCGGCAACAGCAATCTATTCGGAATGGGGCTGAAGACACAGATTGAGAGAATAACGAAAAAATATCAATATGGCTGACACATTTTATTTCGTTTCAATGGCCATTACCGAACGCCCTTGTCTACACTTTTCCGCTCAAGAGCACAAAAATAAAGCGAAATTTATGCCCCAAAAAAATCAATCAATTATTTTGAGCACAATAAGGTGGTTCCAAGAAGATCGTATATTGATTGTAAATAACTTGGGTCCTGCCAAATGAATATTAAGTAGGGTGTGAGAGCAATTTTTTCCTAACAACCGCCATATATCATCTAAACAAATTTGTTTTTTTTTAACAGGTTACCATTTTGTTAGCCAGTCTGTGTCTTGAAATCTATGACTTGAATGTTGTGAAAATAAATCAACGTTTTTATTTATAAATGATAGACAAATAGTTGAAATAATACAACTAAAATGTCTTCTGCAAAATTGTTTTGAAATTAAGTAGAATTAACTAAACATTTTCACTCTCCCGCAGTTATGTTATATCCTTTGGCAAATTATCACAGATTTTAACCATAATTTGTCTGTTGTATGCGTTTCTGCATGACCGCATGAATACTTGTTGGTTTCACTTGCTTGTGGCCTCTGGACAAGCTTAATTATTAATAATATAATTAGAGCGGAATACAGCTGCTGATGGCAGCCTGGTGTTTTTGTTGAGAAATAAATTGGTTGCGGTTCAAGTTTGCTCTGCTGCAGTTGAGCAAATTTTACTTTTGCATTTAATTTTAAACGGGAGTTTGCTTGTTAAACGTTATTGAATATCTGCAGCTAGAATGCTTTGCATATTTTTACGCCAATCTCAACTTTGGCCGCACTCCAAATAAGTCTCGGTTTTGGCCCTCGTCCTTGTCGTTTTCGTTCCCCAAGGAGCAGCTGCTGCAAGTGTCCTCAAATCTATTAGCATAAAACTGATAAAAATAAACTGATGTCGTTGTCGTTGTCGCCGTTGTCAACAAGCAGCAGTGGCAGTGCAAACAAACAACAACAATCAGCTAACAAGAAACTGGCAACAAATTTGCGTTGCTTTTGGCTAAGCACTTTTAGCCAAGAAAGACAACCGCAGAATTGTGTAAAATTGTGGACCGAGTTTTCTACGATTTTGCATATTTAGAGCTTCATTTTGGTCAATTTATTTTCTCTTTGATTAAAGATTCCTTAGTTTAAATATTTTGTCGTATTTGTTATTATAATTTCACATGTTCTTATATTGTTATTTGGTCTTTAAACGTTGAATTTATTCATTCAAAAACATTTATTTTATTATATGTCCGGATTCTGTATTTTCTGTGATAAATTTTGTCTCATTTTCAATTCCCTTTCTCTTTACTCTTTAAACATTTTGATACAGATTATTTATTAAAACGTTGTGCAACATTTTCTCTGGTTGTTTTATTTGATTTTTTAAATACCTAACTAGTTCCTTTCTCGATTTTAAATGGATTATATATTTTTCCCATTTTCCATTAACGTTTCATTCGTTCAGCTTGCTGTTTTGTTTACTTTCACTTTACTCGTTTTGCTTTATTTATTCAGTTTGCTCTTAATTTTTTTCACTGCCCGGGACTTAAAATCAATTATGCTTCTGTTTTTTTCTACTACTTGTTGTTATTAAGTGGCAAATTCTTTTTGCATTGACCAATGGTATTGACAAAAAGTCATAGATTTTTCAAATTTATCACTTTGTTGCATTGGCCAAATGGGAATTTATCATTTATTGCTTTAGTAGCCATTTATCTATTTACTTAAAACCTTTGATTTGCAGCTGTAGTTTTTTGTTAGTGAATATGTGAGCGATGAGTCATGAAAATTGATTTTAATAGGATTACAAAATCGTCAGATTAAAAAGATTTAACCACAATTTGTTATTTAACACTCGACTAGTGACAAGTGTCTAAAGAACTTAAATATTTGTATTCCAGTTCTTAAGGAAATTTGTTTTAATTAAATAAATGAATATAAATAATTTACGTTATTTATATGCCACCTAATGGAAGTAACAAAGCAATTAAATGAAAATAAAATGTGTTTTTTTTTGCTAGGAAAATCTGTACTTTATAAACACTTAATATACACTGATATTTTTTAATCGAGAGTATTAAAAGAGATGGAATAAGATAAGATAAGAGCGGGAAACAGCTTTTTTAATAGGCTTAAAGAATTTTACGTTTAAAATGATTTAACTACATTTCGGTACATAATACTTGACACGGTATTTGTGCTTGACTTTCTTGTGCAATGAATAAACAAATTTATTTCAAATATATTGTTTAAGTTTCAAGATAGAGGACTAGTTTGTGGTGGGCAAATATACACACATTTGTATATTTGTCTAAGCGAGTAGTTTACTCTTAAGCTTTGAGACCGGTTTTCTACAAGTCTTGTCTATATTGCCTATCTAAGTGTTTAAATTAAATACAAATTCTCTACCAATTTTCTCGCTTTGAATAAAATTGCCTTGCCGCTTGAAGGACACTCAGTATTTACATTAGATTTAATTAGCATTTTTCACGCTTTTGTCTGCGGACTCAAACGTGCGCTAATAAAAGTTTCTTTTAAATTACATTGACATTGTCTCTGGGCTTGTTAACTTAGCGCCATTTGTAAGGTTTTAACGAAGTCAAAGTTAGAAAAGCACTTTTCACTTGTTTTTTCCTACCCCACATTTTTCAGTTCGACTGACAATTTTTTTTGCTTGGCTGACGATTTTCACTAGGAACAGCCTAGAAGTAAAAAAAACCTCTAAACGAAAAAAATGAAATAAAAAGGCGGCAAGAAAACTGTCAACGGCATGGCTCTGTGCGTCATAAAGTGGGCCAAGAGGAAAACCGAAATTAAATTACTTTGACTTTCGATGTTCGACCATAAAAAAATGCATTTAGGTCAGCGACCAAAATTGTGAGAGAGGCCAGATCCAACCTACGATGTCGAAAATTAATGCAATGCCAGCGACAAGAAACCGTATTTAATGACTTTTGAATTGTTTTATCAGAAAATTTATTACAATCACCGCATCGACCAGGCAACCGCAATAAACCTTAGCCATGCAAATTATTCTCCCTTTTTTATTTCTTATCTGTTCTTCACATTTTTATGGCAGCTGTAAAGCCAACGAAAAAAGTCAAGAAAATCGGCTCAAAGTCTGAAAGTATTTCGGCATCATCATCAATCTTTTTCGGCAAAATGTTGGCAACTGCACTGCCAAGACAATTGACAAATTGACGATGGGGTTTTCCGTTGGTTCTGCCGTTGGTATTTTCTTTGGAATATGTTTATGCAAATGCATTTTAAAGTAGGTACAAATTGTCATTGGAAGTAAAGCGCGGGAAAAGTTAATCCTAATGGTATGGGTGGAAAAAGAATTGGGATAGAGTAAGATTAATTGGATTTAAATACAAATATAAGTGGCATTAAAGGTATGGTTTCAATTTAAGGACTATAACATGACCGTTCATTTTAATTAAGAAAACTAAGTTATTATTATTATATTTTGACATGAAGTTTTAAATTGAAAATACCGATTCAGACCTTTAACAATCTAAAAATAAATAATTGTATGTTCTGACTATTTCTGATTATCTCTTTAATTACTGCACATAGTTTTTATTTTAAGAAAACATTTAAGTCCATGAAAGTCTCAAGATTTTGTAATATTGGAAACAGTTTTTGTAATGGAGCTGCTCGCGATGTATCCGAACTTAATTACCGGGTGTATATGATCGGAAATATGTAAGATATTCCATCAATTAATGATTCTCCATTACACGATTACAGTTGGACTCAAGCATTTGCTCGACAGTTCCGTTCGATCCATTAATCGAAAATGCATTATTGTTTAACAGGCATAAGTAAATGGCCGTCGATGTCCGAGTGCGGAAATGAACAGTTTAAGCCAACTGCAATGGCATACGCAAACGGGTTAATAAAGGCGCTCAACAAGGCCGAAAACGGTAAACAAATTGTTTGGGATATGCCAACAACACATATGTATACGTTGGTACATATATCGGACGCAATGAGGCACCCGACATTATCGACATTACCGGTTAACGGTAACGGTTACAGAAACGCATAAATTATCCATGATTTTTCGTATGGGGTAGTGCTGCGTTTGCGAATTTTTGCTTTTTTTATCGCATGAATTTTAAGCAAGTGAAATGTTTTCCCATTTATGCGAGTGTGCGAGGCTGAAATTACAAGTTAATCGAACGTTGCATACTTACTGGGGCAGTCAGTCGCGTGGAACCATATGCGATATTACTTATTTATGCCCGCCAAAGAACACTTTCAGCAATTTAAATTCATATTTATTGATTTTTTGTTAAGAAATCGCTACTCCGGTTGCTTCCGATTACGTTGAATAGGAATCCAAGTATTGGGTGTGGTATTTTCGGGCAGTCTTTTGATGTCACTAGCATTTCACTATGAAAATGGTGCGATCCTTTTGGGATTTGGTATTATTCCTTGTTATCTTGTTGGTAATATTTTTATTATCTTATTATTGTTACTATTTTTTGTTGGATCTTATGTAAAGTAATATCTGGCACTATTTTATTTATTTTGCTAATTAGTTTTAGTTATATTTATAAATAATTTTTTTTGTGGAGCACTGAAATATTTTATTTATTATTTAAAAAATCTTTTAGTTTTCTTATTATATTAAGCCGTGTTTCAATATCCGTTGCTTGAACCGCACACTTACAGAATCCACGACGAACTGAAGTGCTGGACCAACTTCGGCAGCTATGTTAAGCCTGGTTCGACTGTTGTTGGTTCGAGTTAACAGAGCTCTCAAAATGTTTGAAAAAGGGAAATTTTAAGAGAACCCAGAACAGAACGTGTTTTAATCATACATGCTGGAAGTCCTTAGAAGAATTGGGGTACTTGGTTTCTGTGGAACTAACACAACTTCCACGGTTTTTAAAGAATATTAATAACTACTAATTGATATGAATGAATTGCAATAGATTATACAATTTATGACACCATTGAGAGATTTCTGACAAATCTTAAATGAGTTTTCTAACTTTAAATTGTCAGTTTATTTGTTGTTCAAAAATGTTTTTAATATATGGTGTGATGATTGAAAAATAATTAAAATATATGATTAAAAGACGTTCTGATATAGAAATATATATGACTAAAATTTTCGTAAGAGCTACTTAAATGTTAATTATTCCCTAACATATTTGCTCGCCGCTTTATACCTCTTATATCTTTAATGTAGGTTATAATTCCAGGTAAATTCTGTAAAATTTTTCAGGTGACGATTTCAGTGGTAAGACCCCTCCACAACCCTATATAACCTCACACCCCGCCCACATTAGCCGGCGCAACAAATTGCTTGTCATGTTAACAGCCTTTCGCCTTCGCATTGCTTTAATTACCCGACCTCCATATGCTGGGCGACACCTAAAAGAATGCCATATAAATGAGAACTCATCTGCTTGATGCGCGCGTAGGAGTTTGCGGGTCGTGGCAAATTGCCACCTAGTTTATCTTAGACTCCCGAACATCCCATGGTAACTGATATCTTTGTTTACTCAGCTACATTGTCAAATGTCTGGCATTGGCTTTTTGCCTTTGTTTGTCTCCCTTTTGGCTGTGAAAAATACTTATGAGTGTGGGCGTGTGTCGAGCTAGATGTCTGGCCGCCTGGGGCGATGAAAAACATATATTTAAATGCGAAAATATCGTCTAGGCTGAACCGAATGTTCACACAACAAATTAGCGAAATCAATTTAAAAATTTCATTGAGTTCTCTAACTTTGCCTTGGGGTCAGGCAACAAACACACCTCGGTCTTTGGACGGAAATTTTTGAGGTCACTGTGAATTTTGATGCCGGGCTAACTTTCGATGCAAAGGGCGAAAGTTTTAAGTTGTGGCTTAAATTTTATATTTCTACAAAATTTTAGCTTTGGTCCTTGAACTTTTTCTGCCCGTTTGGCCAGTTTAAATGTTTGCCAGGGAACTTTAATTCATTTATAAAATATGTTCGGCCCACTCTGTTGCCGTGTGGATTAAGTGCAGTCGCTCGGTCTACTTTTAAATTAATGAAATTCTGTGTGTTTCAAGTGTAAGTTAGCCGCAAGCTTTTTGTCTTTGCACCAATTAGCAGACTGCATGGAAACAGCTGCAAGCTACGTTTTTGAGCTAAACGTTGGTCGAGTTTTAATAAAGAATGCGTGTGTGAAAAGTTCTTCTATGGGTTGGGTTTGGTATTCAGAATTTCAGTCACAGGAAGCCTTTTCATAGGTTATCTATAGTTTATTAATTAGTTATAAATAAATTTATTTGGAATTTCAACCAATTAATACATTTTCTTTACCATATATGGCATAAATTCTTTTAATATTTTCTCACTTCTAAGTTCGATTTCCCATTTATTTCAAGCAAAAGCACAGCCATGGGACTACACTCATCCCGGTCAGTTACTTCAATTGCCAATCTATTGTCTAACCTAATGTTTGCTCTCTTGCGGCTACCGATACGTGGTCTGAACCCTGAAGAATTTAGTTTCGGCAAAGTTTTCTTGCCATTCTTTGCCTGGTCAAATGTTTTCGTTCAGGAACTTTTTAAATGCTTTCACGATACTTGGCGGTGTTTTGCGGCTACCTCTGTTACCTCTGGCCAAATCAAAGTGCACAACTTTTGCTTACTTTCTTTACATTTATTTTTGCGGTCGGTTGGCAACATCTTGAATGGAATTTATGCTTTTTACACTTGTTATCCATACGAAGACAAATCGATGAATGGTGCACAAGGAAAAAACATTTCTACTGTTGGCTATATTTTTAAAGCCTGATAACAAATCAGGTGTAGAAAAAGCCATATGACCAGTTAGTTAAATTTTTTTAAAATTATTTTTATTTATAACAAATATAATTTTTTTTTTTTTTTTGTTAGTATAGTATGTGTTTTTTAAGTATACGAAATCGTACATATGTTTTCGCTGAGTGCCCTATTTTCGTGCTGGTCCATAATTTATTGAATTCGAACTTGAGCGGCAACATTAATTTATTTGCCAGCTGCAAGAGAGTTTTCTGTTTACCTCAGGCACTGCCACTCCGAAGTGCAGTTGCCTTGAGGAGGACTTGGACTTGGAGGGCGGGGTTACTTGTGTTTAAGCCTTTCGCAATGACATGTCAGTTGGTTGGCTCAGATAGCGGGATTACCGACACATGCAAATTGAAGTTGCTGGACGGACTGAGAGAGCGGGAAGTCTGCGTCTAATCCAATTTCAATTGCTTAATCCACCATGACTGACACTAAGAGCCAAGTTGAAAGATGGTCGAGTGGGCGGTGGAATGGTGGGGTTCCTTTGGGCCCCCACATCTTTACGCACCACAGCACTTGAAATACTCGAGCTTGCTATTGAATTACGCACCCACACATGTCAACATATCATGTTACACTTCACTTTGTGTGTGCGCTAAGTAAGTTGTAGTTCGGCAGCCCAGAAACGGAAACGGAAACGCTGCTCCTGATTCTACTCCTGCTGCTTCCACTCACATAAAATCACAATGTTGACCCTTTTATTTCGACTGGAAGTTTTATAACCAAAAGAATCGGGGCTAAAAGAAAAACACACCCACACACACACACACACGAAAATAAAGCAGCTCAAGCTGTGTTTGCTTAAGTTTTATGTGTGCACAGATTTTACGACCGAGCTGAACAGCATCACGTAGCTCAAGGCCCGGCTTAGTGGCCCCTGAACTTTGCCCTGGGTCAGTCGGCAATGGGATGCATTTTAAATGGGCTTGTCCCCCTGTAGCGGTTCGAATTAAAATACCCACAAAACCAAAATCCACCTGACATGCTGCGCTGCAGCCATTGAATGAAATTCATTAAAAGTCATTAACGTTTAATGGTTTTATACCCTTACAAAAGGGTGACACCGTGAAGAGCCTAATTGATAGACTGATTAAAGTTTTTTAAAGCAAGAAAATAAATTACAAATAATAACATGCTTTTATATGATATGATGATATGTAGATAATTATTTTATTACGGTTTGTAAGCTTAAACGCTACAATTAACATTTACATTTGTCAAGAAAACAGGCATCAGACATCAAATTAAAAGTATAAACCTTAAGACAAATTTTAGCCCTCCTTCAGAGCATTTAATTCGTCTTGTAACTTGCAATCAAATTCTTTTATAGCCAAACTCTTTAATGTTTCTTTTCATAATAAAGGATTTTTCAGAGGCCCGCTGACAGCAGCCCAATGCGGTTTAATTAGTGCCATTGGTGGGGCGTGACCATGCAGACATGCACTTGGCCAGGCGGTCAGCGATGTGACAACCCAATAAAAAGTGGAGGAATTTACAGCTTGAAAGGGATTGGACTTGAAACACGTTTTCAATTAGCAACACTTGCTGCAGACCCCGGCGAAGGCTAATAATGAGTTGACAAATGGCTTGTGTCAAACAAAAGCCGCGCGGAATAAACAAACAAACAAGGCAGACAGACGGAACACGTCTTGTTGCTCTGGTGCGTGACTTTGTGTGGATGTAGGCAATTTCCCACCCACTTAGCACCCACAACAACCCACTACCACCCACAACCACCCACATTCAACCACCGCCCAGCTGTCAACTTTGGTGACACCCGCACACCCACCAAACAGAATTGTCAACTTACAAGGCTTGGTGGCTAAAGTGTCGCGTAATTTATTTTCCACCTCTCGGCGCCGACTGACAAATGAGCTGATAATTTTCCCCGTATCCTGCCATTGTCAAGGACATCGGCGGGAGTTGGCTAGAAAACAGAGAGGGAAGATCAGCTAATTCATGGCCTCAGCATTGCCTAGTCATCAGAAGGCTTTGTCTAGCTGTTGACAGGAGAAATTAATTTGTGTTTACTTGCCTGTTTGACACCCGTGAGTTATTGATGGGAAATGCGGAATATGGATATGTAAATGCAGAATAGATAGACTCAGGAACTATGCCCAAACATACCGGGATCCATTTTACTGACTGTAAGAGTGGCTATTTTAAAGACTTGATTATAAATGTACCCACTAAAGTAAAAAAAAATAAAGTATAAGTATCAAACAGATAGTTCCTAGAATTTGTAAATTGTTTACTAATGATTTAACCGACTATTTTCTTAAATAAGCCACTAAAGAATTTATCTTCATTATATGCTTTTAACGAATGCTAAACTTTTAAATTAATATTAATGGCAAAATTACACACTCATCAAGTCCACCGCCCTCAAACCCCAGATGATGCTTCGGTTAATGGCTGGCACTCCAATCTCAAGATACAAGACGAAGGCTATGTACGCAGACATGAATGTACACACGTTTATTTTCAGAGTTTTAAAACCTTTTTTGGGCTTGTAACTTAATGACAACTCGGAGGCAAATATATGAACAGTGCGTTACAAAATTAAAATTCAGTTAAATATTCTGCAATATATGTATATAAATAGAATTGAAATAAATACCTTAAAAATCTGGTTTCTAGTTCGCTTATTAATTGATTTAAGGACTTTCCTTTTCATTTTTTTGAAAGTTAATTTTATTGTTAGCCAATATTGAGAACTTGTAAATTGTTCTTTATATAATAGATTTAAGCCTATTCTGATTTTGCCCGTCTTAAAGCCTCGACACGCACTGTTTGTTTGGCGTACATATGTGAATGAGCTGCACTGCAATTTGACTTTAATGCATTTTTAATTTGTGC